AACCATATTCTAAATATTGGCAGCAAATGTGTTTAATAATGTGAATGAATGAGAAATAAGTATTTATTAATAAATTTAATTTCTTTATCAGTTATTTTTATAAACCACAAATATTTTTATTTATATTTTACCCTAACTCCCTTTGGATGCCTACCCCCTTACCCTTTAAAAATAATTGCAGGTGAATCGCTCTTACTCCCTCTCTCATGTAGACATTGTAGTTAAATATTTAAAGATGTCGCTTGATCCAGAAATTCCACTTTTATTTAAAAATATACATTAAATAAATCTAAAACTAGTAAGACGAAGATGAGAGGCAAGTGTATAAAATCTCATTTAGTATCATATAATCTAGTATAATGAATAGCTTTGAAAACAAGGTTATAAAGACTTGTATAAATTTTAATAAAATTATATTTATTTTATAAATTCTTTTTGATATATACTTTATCTAAAAATAAATTAGCCTAAAAACCTAGATGACTGGTTTGGTGAAAATAAATAAAGAATCTTTCGATCCAAAATAAATGAATATGATTGGCTTCGACAATATACATAAAATATTCTTAATGACACATTTTAAATTCCTAACTTTGTGGATACTTAATGTTTATATATTTCAATTGAACCTTCGATATTGGAATGGATTCCCAATTCATATATCAAAATATTGAAGAGAAATCATAACGGGCGAGTTAAATCTTTTTAAAGAATAATACATCCAAAAAATATTTATATATTTTTCTTTATTTGTATAGTTAGATATTGGTTAAGATAAATTAATGACATTATTTTTAAAATACAATAAAGAATTTATTCATATTCGTAATTAAAAAATTCTATTATATATATATTATATATCATATTTTTTAATAATATATCAATTCAAGTAAAAACAAAAAGTAGCGAGCGCCGTTCATTCTAGGATACCAACTCACAACTAATCGATTAAAGATAAAAATAAAGCCCCTCAAGCATAGGCAAGTCAACCCAAGCCAAGATAAAATCAGAGGATCAAACTATATCGAGCTAATCAGACAATAGAAGCTTATTTAAATCGTGCTAGCGTAGGCATGATATCCCAAATCAAAGCCTAGCAGAGCAGATCTCCATAACAAGAAGCCATACCATACCGAACCGATTAAACCAGCTAATCTGATCAATCCAGAATAAGGATAAATTATAAACAAGTCGAATAGAACCGATCAATCCTAGACAAGAAAAATAAATTGATAACGACAAAATTACCCAAACCATACCTAATCGATGAGGATACTAACTGGAACTGAGCCAAGCATATCTGGATAAGCCATATCTGGATAAGCCATATCAAGTCGATAAACCAAGAACCAAAAATAACGATTTTTAAAAAAGGAAGAACGCCGATGACAACTGAAGAATCCAAATTGAACTAAGCAAGTCAAGATAAAAAAAAATGAAATCGTACCCAGTACATCAATCCAGGATTAGTCATACCGAACCAATATATCAAAAACAGGTGATTAATCCAGGACGGGAACAATGTCAATTAATCAAATAATACTGAACCCATCATTTTTAGTTAACCTGGACCAAGCTGATTGAACCAAGATAAGCCGCATCGAACCTATTAAATAAGTCAAGGAGAAGAACAGGACCGATGACAGGGAGGGTCAAACCATATAAAGCCAAAATTAAGGCAAAAGAATCTAAATCATACTGAGCTTATCAAGCTATGATAAGCCGTATCGATTTATAACTCGAGATCAAGCCAAACAGAGTCGATCAATCCTTTACAAGAAGAAAAGAGGCGATAACGTCAAACCATACCGAACCGATAGTCAGCTAATCTCAACTAAGTCAATCAAACCAGAGCTGATGAAGACATAAGAAGTCAAACCATACCTGAACCTAGTCTATCTAGCCGATAATTCAAAAATAAGCCGAAAGGCGGCATACTATATAGGAATGCAGCTGATGACTTCAGGAGAAGACAAATGGTTTTAAAGTGATCGAGTCAGCTAAAATAAACGAGCCGATTGCATCAGGATAAGCCGTATCTAGAGTATAAATCAATAACAAGCTGAATCGTGCCTATTAATTTAGGGCAGGAAGAACAGAGTCAATGACAACAGAAAAATCTAAACAATACCGAACCGATCAAGTCAACTAACCAACCTGAACTAAGCTAATTAAGCATGGACGTTTCGAGCTGATAAATAAAGAAAATGACGAATAGAAACGATCAATCAAGGATCAGAAGAAAAAGGTCAGACCGTCAAGTCAACTAACTGGAATTGAGCGTATAACACCGGGATGCCCTGTGATTCAATAAATAAAAAATGAACCGAATAGAGTCGATCAATCTACGAAAATAAAGTAACAATGAAAACAGGAGATGCTAAACCGTACCAATATTGATCAAGTCAACTACTCTCATAGAATCCAATAAGGAGTCTTTTTCTAAAGAATATTTTTGAGGCCATTATGTTTTTTCACTAAGATAGGGACATCAATACTCTTTATTAAAGTAATGATTATATACAATCCTGACTTACCTTCTATGCCTTCTTGTCCCCTTTCAAAATCAGTCAAATCGGAAATTCAAATCAAAATAATAATCAATAAAATTACACATCTACGCTCTCCAATTTATCCAAGTAAAGATAGTGTTTTTCCCTTTACCATCAATTATAATACTGCTATATACGCCTTCCCCACCAGCCCACCCAGTATTATATATGTCTAATAAAATCAATGATTACTTGATGACAAAATCATATTTTAATTGTTTGTATTTTTTGGTTCTATGCACTGCACCTCCCATTGAAATTTTTTTTATATCGATACATCTTTAAAATGAGAATTTAATGGGGATTCTAAATATAATAATTTTTTATGATTAAAAATGTTGATATCCATATTAAATTACTTAAAATACAGTAAATTATAAAAAAACACAATGTTATGTTTATATATTTTTTTAAAGATTTTTCATTTATTTTCTTTAAAAAATTGCATCCCATCTTAATTGTAAATTAATGCACAGGGAAAGAATTACGATCATTACAATTATTTGTTTATTTTATATGACTGTTGCACCGATTATGCTCTGTTAGGTTTAATTTTATTATAAAAAGTAGAATCGACTTATGATTTGCATTATATAATAAATTTGTGATCTTTTCTATTTAACCAAAAATATTATAACTAGACTAGACTGTATGTTTTTTTTAAAAAAAAAACATCATATATTGCTGTTTTTATTTGTTAGAATATTATTTTTTTTTAGTAAAACTATTTCTAACCGGTTAGACTGTAGAACTGCTTAAATCATTGATTGAGACATTTATTTGTTTATAGTCATCTATTTCATTTTATTTTATATTATTTTTCCTTCCCCACTTTCTTTGGAGGAAAACTGTTATTTTATTCATTTTATTATTTTTCTTTATTATTGCTAGTTAACAAGATTTAAAGTCTTTAACTTTTTTTCTTTTTCAAAACATTACATCTTAATTGGAGTTTACATATAATATATTGGTCGTTCCCAGTGTTTCTCTTTTGTTTTTATTTTTATGTTTTTATTTAGGAGTGGCAAGAGTTTAGCCTTGTTTTACTTCTTTTTTACCTTGGAGGAAGGGAATTTTCTTCGTATTTGATTTTCGAAGAATCCAAACATGTATTAGTGGTTTTCTGGATCTGGAAGATGTTGGGGTCTTTCCTTTCTCTGACAACGAAGCTGCATGATTAACATTATCAATACCTCTGCTACAATTTACAAATGTAAAGTAGAAGGGTGTTTGTACTTTTCTGCATGATTATTTTTCTGATAATTTTGGCTCCAGTATATTTTTCCTTAGGCCTGTATAGACTAATGTATTTTTGAGGGGGAAGATTTGGTATAGGTGATATGCTTGTGGTTTTTTGAGTGAACCAAAAAAAAATGTTTTTTTCCATGCTACAGGATGTGATGGCTATAGCTCAGAAACCCTTTAATTTCTGTGGTCCTAGTTTTTTTGTGTAGTTACTTAGGTAGAATTTATTCCATCCCACTGCAGTAGTTCCGCTCTCCAATATTTTATTGAAAGAGGGCAAATAGGTAGCGAGATATTGTTGTAGGTGCTTGAATTTTCTGCTGTATATTATCTAGCCCCGATACTTTGTTTTTCCTTAGTTTTTGACCACTTGTTATTTCATTTATGGAGAAACCAGTCGACAGGGGGGGGGCGTGGTTTGTAATTATGTTTGTTGGTAGAATTTTTTGATAGACTATCATATAACAATCAAGTCATAATGCCTTTTGTTGATCCTGGTAATTACTTTTCTATTTCCCTAAAACTTATGGAGCTGGTTCCTATTTCTGCGTCATAGTTCCTTTCTCTCATATCTTTATCAATATCAAACTTTTTCGCTATATAATCTATCTATCACTTCGTAGAGTATTTTGTTTCTCTGGGGGAAAAAAAACAACCTTTGTTGTTGGGTGTTCGTTGCTGGACAGTCATAAACCTATTACTGACTAGTTTTTGTCTATTCACTGGAATTTTTACCTATTTAAACAATTTGCGGTAAACCCATTAGCTTTTTCTTATTTTCATGAGTAAATTCTAATTTCAATTGATATGAACACATTCTCAATTATTGATAGTAATTATTAAGGCTTACATTAAAGATGTTAAACTTAAAATTAGCCACCACCCACCCTTAAAGTAATTAAATTATTTTTGCAGTTCTTGGGTATAGGCTTTTGTTTTTTGTTTATTAGCCTATAGACGTTTAAGCAACAGTTCTCGGACTGTTGCGTGTACAACTACGTACGGCTTGCCCACAAATGTGTGAAGGGCTCCTAATTTTTCTCCCATTAATTAACTATCCAGTTTGATGGATTTTTGAGGAAAACCTAGCGTAGCTCTGTTGTATCCACAACCAGAGGGCGAAAATGCTTTTATCACGTATCACGTATATATGATTGGCTTAAACATTCTCAAGCTCGGTTAAAATTTTTCAAATTTTAAACGATGGAAAAAAGCACACATGATCCATCTAATTGCAATAAAAAGGACGTTATAAAGCCAGCTAAACGAAAACGATTATCAAATGTAAAATATATTGACAGAGATCCGAAAATATTCCAAAAAAAATGTGAAAAAGTAGGCTGCCAAGTTCAAGTTCCAATATGCTTAATTAGAGCCTCTGAAAAGTTTAATCTAATTCACACATTATTTATCATAATTGTATTGTATTTAGATGTGCTGCCTTTACTATAACTACTTCTAGATGGTATCATATATCATCTAGTGAACATTTTTGCAATAAATGTTTTGAACATTTTTATCGAAAGTATGGATTTTTTTTATATAAAACTATTTATATATTAAGAAATTTATTTGACATTTAGTTTATTAAGTTTTAATATACTTAGATTATTTGATAACTATTTATTTGGCTGCATATATATTGATGCAATATAAAAAATAGCTTCTTTTTTTTAAATTAAATTTTATTTTATGCTTAATATGATGTAGTACAAAATCAGGGAACTCTATTTACAATGCATGGAAAGAAAAGTGGGTTTCTAATACACCAGCCCAACAAACCATTAAAACTTTTATGGCAGATCAGAAGCTCCCTTATTGGATTCAATGTAAATTAAATAATTGTCTTAAATGGAGGCAAATATCAAGTGATTATAAAGTTTCTAATGACTTCATAAAATATTACAAATGTGGATCTCAGATACCTGCTGGCAATGAGGAATTTGTAGATCATTGTGCCACCCCTGAAGATAAGGTATGATATGAATTATAATTCATTTTATATATTCAGATGGTTAGAATTTAGAAGGGGGAAATGAATGAATTTAGAATGAAAGTTTGTTATATATAAAATTAAATAAGATAATTAACCATTTCATAATTCTTCATTTTATACTAGTATTTCTATAATTTATAATTATTTTATACATATATATTTTTTTAATATTTAAAATATCTATTTTTTAAATTCATTATAAAAATTTAAAAAATTACAGTATGAGTTAAAATATAATATTTTTTAAACCATTTGAAAGTATTATTATATACTCAGATTTGTTTACTATACTTATGAAACTTATCAAACCCAATATTTTCTAAATAGGTTTGTGAACTGAATACTGACACAAATGAGAGTTCTAGGATCAATAAAATATAGATTTATCTCATGGACTAAAAAATATTAATATTGTCCTTTGCTTAATTGAATATCAAAGAAAAATGAATGACCTAAAACAATAAAGATTTTAAATATAAACACACATTTCTCATATCTATTCTATACCAATGCATTGATACTATTTCAGTATTAGAAGCTTTGCTATTAATTTATTTGAAATATACATATATATTAAAAATCAAAAAATACCAAATTTATTTATTTATTTTAATAATAATATTCATTTTCAAAGTTTTTAATCCTAGAGACATCCCCTTTATCAATATAGCATTTTTGATGACATTAGATGTGCCTTCTAATGGTGTGCTAGAAGTAGTGTATTTTTAAATAATTGTTTTATATTTTGAAAACTGTTACTATCAGAGTTGTTAAATGTGGTATCTGTATCCAAATACACTTTTATAAAAGTATCTTATCTGCATACTATTTATGATATATCTATATCTAAAATTTTATTCTACATTTTTTTATATAAAAATATTATTTGATTGAAATTTTTTTAATAAATATTTTATTATTGAATTAAAAAAATTTCTTAGATTGACTTATATTGTTAAAATTACATATGCCATCTAGAGGATTTTTTAAAAATGAGATTTTTCCTAATTAATTTCTTTGGCCCCACTCTGAAATTTTTTATATGAACAGTCTTGATTACAAAATATCTGAAATTTGGATAAATTAATTTTTTAATTGTGTTGATATGTCGCATTTTAAAAAAATAAATAATAATAAAAAAATATAATAATATATAAGAAAAATCTTAATTTAACTTTACGGACTGATTTTAATTTCTTTCATCACATTATTATATCTATCCATTAACTTAATAGTTTGTTATATAATTTTGTTAACACTACTAGTGACGAACTAAAATTGTTAACATTTCATGATTGGCTTTATATCATATAAAAATGAATGTAAAAAAGAAACATGTAGCACAAAAAAAATGTGAAGCTCGATATTGTTATTATATTTGAATTGAATGATCTATCCAATAAAACACATTTATATCCTCCCAATCTATTTTCGCGTATGTTTCAAATTGCAAATTAAAATTGGTAAAAATGGACTTAGATAGTAATGAAAAGTATATATATTATGAAATAATTAATTCTTCATCGGAAAATAGATGTAATGTAATAAAAACAAATGTTTAATCAATCTAAGGTATATCTATTATAAAAATAATTTTAGTTTACTATAAAAGTTTGATTTAAATCTTAAAAAAATCATAATTTTTCTTACCATATTTTATATATTAAAATTATATTATATTTCGCAATAAAGAGTGTCAGTGAAGCCATAAAAAGCGATTGGTGGTCTACATTGAATGCATATCCATTGCTCAAAGCATGCCCGTCAGTCCCTTACCTAATGCCATATTTTCCTGGTGGAGTTGAATCGAGTCCTCTTAATAAAAATACCATATCAAACCAAAGTTTATTTTTTTTTTTTAAAAAAGATAAATTTATTAAGTTTTAATCTTGTTTACAATCAGAGTTTGAAAAAAAAAATACAAAAAATTTATGATCTATAAAGATTTTTGATTAAATTTTAACTCAATATTTTATCCAGAAAAATATTACGCAGCCCTGAATATTTTGCTCATAGATGTCACAAGGATTTGGACATTATTAGCGGAATCTTGAGGCTTATGCAATATTTTTCTGAATAAAATATTGATTAGGTTAACCGGTTTTAAAATTAGGCTCAAATCGAGCCATTAAGAACACTACTCATAGAACCCTTCTTTTGCAAATTTAATCAATTGATCAAACAAGGGATGAAAATGTTTTTTTTTTTGGAAAATTAGTCCTTGTGTAGTTAAGCAGTTCAATTAAGCCATTTTTAGAATTAAGAATCTTGCCAAAATAATATTTCACAAGTCTCGAGATTTCGTTAAGAGTAGGGTAGGGTTATGCCGATATTAAATATAGGATCGGGCTGATATTTATAAAAAACCGATCCGATATTTTTTTTTATTATTCTTGGTTATTATGAATTTGTATAATTTATTTTATAAATGATATTTCATAATTAAATTAATGAGAGGAACTTAAAATACAATTTATTTGTTGTAATGTTTTAAAATTCAAATGTTAAAAAATTTTACACTATTTTTTTGTTATGTTATCTGCACAACAAGAAAAGAATTTTAAAATATCTAACGTGTCACATTCAGCTATATTGTTAAACGGCTCGATTTAACCAATTTTTAAGAACGGTTAACTCAAGATTTTGGCCAAAGGTAAATTACTCAAGCTTATTTATTTTATCTACATATGTTAGAAAAGTTTTCACTTCTATTCGCGATTTTCAAGCGGATGCAATAATATTTTGGCTAAAATCTTGATTTCGCCCTTTTTAAATGGCCAAGGGGAGAGCTGTTTGGCAAAACTACATTACCCATAAAAATCAATGAGATTAATTTTTGGAGAATAAAAAATATAATTGGTGGTTGGTTTTTTAAAAAAATAGACAATTGATATTTTTATGACTGTTGAAAGATAGATGGTAAATAAATTCATTATTAATATCGGATCTGTTTTTTGTGGAAAGACACAGTCTAGTTAATAGATGTTCAAGCCTTTCAGCCATCTATGAGCCACATTTCCAGGTTGCAAAATATTTTTTGGCAAAAATATTGTGTTAGCCATTCTTTTTAAAAATGGGGTGGTCTTTTAACAATATTTAACAAAATGTTTAAAATGATTTATCTTTGATTTATTATATCTAAAATAAGCGCATAATTTTATGTGATATATATATATGTATTAAAAAAAATATTAAAACTTATATATAAAAATAAATTAGTCTAATATAATATTAATTTAGTAGTTTCCATTTATAATTTATTATACTAAATTTTTCTATTTTAGGCTTTACCCTGCATTCACGGTTAGCGCGAATGGCATAGTATACAAAAATTAGTTATTATATTTATATCATTTTTTTCTATACTTCGCCACGAATTCGCGCAGAGTTACAGAGAAATGACCCTATAAAATTCTTTAATGCATATTTTTGATTTTCATTTACTCTTTTTTTAAAAAAATTATGCAACGAAGAGTTTTTAAAACTTATACATGTTCTAAAAAGTGGCAATGTAAACGTATATTTGTCGGGTGGGGAGGGGGTGTGTTTAACGTGATAACTTAATCGTTATATTTTTTTTCCTTATATAACTGTAACCGTTAATTTTTTTCTGGTAACATGTCCATCCTTGCCGGAACGAATGGACCCATTGAACCCATGTATGGTAAGCTAAGAATTTTTAACGAAATCAGGAATTCGTATTTTGAGCTTCTTTTTCTAAAAATTTAAAAACTCAGCTATTTTAAAAAAAATAATTATTATTTATGTTTAGAGTCTGAAGAATTTGAGAATTTCTATGTTAATAAACTATACTGCAATCCGAATAGGGCTCTTTGTGCTAGGCCTAACATTCTAGAAAATGATGAAGTCAAGGAATTTCCCCAATTTGCTAAGTATGTATTATATTTTATTACTTTTTCATAAAAATCATCAAATCTTTTGATTTCATCACTTATATGAACAGATTTTACAATTAACCTTTTTCTTATTTTTTAAATCTATTTAGGGTTGGCAAAATTTATCATATTTTAAAAAAAAATTTAAAAAATCGATTGAATATTTCAATTAAAGAAGCTACATATTTAGATTGAAAAATATACATCATAATCTGATTTATTTATAAAGGGATTTATATCGTGATTTAAAATCAAATTGATTGTTATTCAACCCTAATTCTATTACATGTATCCCCAGAGGTGTATCAATATCGCCTAGAGCCCTTCTATTTTTAAGTGCAGCCCAATCCAAGAGAAAAAAAAATTTGAAACATCTGTTTAAAAAACGCAGCCTGGAACGGGCTAAAAATGATATGACTAATCCGGGCTGAATTCGTTTACAATGAAAGTAATGTATATTTTTTAGTTCCAAATCTTGAGGTACCCAACGGTAAAGGGTTTCTTTTTTGAAGTAACATTTACATTACTAATAAATAAACGAAAAAAATATTTTCTAAATAACCTATTAATTTATTGGCAGTTGAATAGAATTCGATATCAACTTCTGGCGGTATTGACACCACACCACAATGTTTATCAGAATGATTATTCAGTGAAACTTGCCAAGAACGATACTTTACGCTAAACAATAATTTTATTTTCAATCAATTTTTCAAATTGAGTATCTGTAGAATCGAAGGTTTTCTTCGTTTACGTTTTCTTAAAGAAATTTTGTCATCCATTTTTTTTTCTTATAAGGGCGCCAGGTATTTATCTAGCTATAAGAAGTCTACTCTTAATGCTGTGGTACCGGAAACCAACAAAAATGATCGATTGGCAAGAATTGTACACCCACGTGATTTGCAGAGGCCTGATCCGAGTTCATTTGGCCAGCGTTTCTCGTCTCATTTTGGAGTTTATCGCCCGAAAAGGACTCATAAATACGGCTTTAGAGACCCCGGAAAACCCGTTATTGAAAGTGGAATGGGTAAATAATTTTTTATAAAATATTTCTATTTTTTTTTAAATTTTGAAGAAGTTGTTATGAATCAGGAAGGGTGTGCCAGCGTTGCCGGTCTAAAATGATATTATTTTATTTATTTTTTTTTTGGGGGGGGGGGGGGGCAAAATAATGTAAATTCCTATATGAATAAAATTAGCCACAAATTTCTTTCGCCGAATAAGAATTAATATTATAAAATTTGCCTGTTCTATATGCATCCAGAAAATTTTTAGTTAGTTTTAGAAATCTAGGACGGGTATCAAAATCTGAACGCCTGTCTTTTTTTTAGAATTTATTTATAAATGTCTTGTAACTTTTGTTAAATACCAGTGAGGAACAGACTACATGTTTTTTAAAAAACATGCAGAACAGGAAGCAGAACACTCCTCCCCCCCCCTCCATTTTTTTTAGTACAGGTACTAAATTCTGGTATAATGGAAAACTTTTTTTTATTTTTGGCCTTATAAAAAATTTCTTTAGGAAACTCATTTGGAGACGAGGGATTCTATCTGGGGAAGAATGTTGGAGGATCCAAGCTTAACTAAAGGTAAGCCTATGCGTGAGTCTTATTTCGATTAATAATTTGGCGTTGACTTTAACACGCAATTTATTTGATCTAGAATCTCGCAAATTCGATTAATTTTTAAATTAAACAAAAAAATCAATCTCCTTTATTTGATAAAAAAGGAGCATTTTCTATATTTTTTGAGAATATTTATATACATGTCTAATTTTTTTTACAAAAAATAAGGTTGGGCTAGAATTGTTTTAGAAATGATATGCCCGAGCTTAACTTCACGTCAACTTGCATGGCTTAAAATTTATTATTTGATTTTTGAAATTATTTTTTTCTCTATAATGTTTAAATTTGTTTTTATATAATCTAATTAAATTTAACCATGCCATTATTTCCTTATACCACTTACTATAGTTAATCATTCACCGGTGGCTGAAGATTCAAAACTAAACTTCGATCTCCTGAATTGTAGTCAAAAAGCTTCAAAGCAAGCTTTGTTTACTCTTGACAATTCCAGACCTACCGGTAACAATACAGGAGTTAGTACTGTGATGACTGGACTCCCTACAGCTACCGATTTTAACAAACTGCTGAACACTGTAAATTTGCTAAGCAAGCGCATTGATGCTATTGAATCCCACTCCTATGGAAGATCTAGCCTGTCCAGATTACACGCCCCCATTGCCTTCATTGACTCCTCAGGTGAAGATGAATGTATTGGTGCTCCCAGTAATACCCTTGCACCAATGCCAACAACCCTCATGCCCTTAAACGTTTCCAAATCATCCTCTTTCCCACCTACTCCATCCGAGAAAGTCGATAAACTCAAGACAATGCTTCGAGGTATTGAAGACGACCTTGCCCAGCCCCATTGCAAAGTCTCCCAGCGAGACCGCGCCGAAGTCAAATTCCTTCAAAAGCTCGTGAAGCGGATGAATCTTGGCCAAGATATGGTCGTGATTGATATCATCACAGAAAGAGTAAGAATTCTTATGCTTGCAATACATTGGAATTGGTCAACTATCTTCGCCCATGACTCATCATTCACAGCTAGATTTCTTGGAGCTGAGGATATCAAACCCATCACAGAGAAGCCCTTTCGTAAACCCCGCCGATCAGTGCCAAGCAGTCGGCGGGATATCCCCAAGAAGGCGATCTCCACTCGCGGTAAAAAGAAGATATAATTCCTCTCTACTTGATATGCAAAGGTTTTTTTTAGGACCAGACACCCAACTGTTTTTGTCAGGGCCACCTAAAAACTTTTTCAAGGCTCCCAATATAACATCCAGACAATGTGTTACTGATTCGAATTTGTACCTTGAACTTCCATCTTATCCTCCGTCCTTATGCTATATACGATACTGTTGCACCCAGTGGAACTCCATAGCACAGCTCCGTCGAACTCTTCTAGCTTCAATTACAGCTCCCCTTTGCTCATTGCTACAACTAAGTCAAAACTGGTTCCACAACTGTCCCTTTACCAAAACATTGCCATCAAACGCGAACCCTTTATTATACAGTTACAATTCGACGTCATTAAAACCACAATATTTTAAAGATTTAATATAATTAAGTTATTTTATTATTCATTCGTCATTATTTGTATTATAATCTATTATTATATTTTAAGATTTAAAATATTTTATTTTGAAATATATATATAAAACGCATATATATAAAAAATATATTAGAAGGAACATTAAGATATTCAAAAAAAATTTTTTAAAAGGTAATTAAAAAAGAATATCAAAGTGAAGACAAACAAAATTAACTTCTTGAGTCATACCGAGTATTGGACCAGCTTCGGGTTTAAAATTGCCTAAGGTGGTCAGGTCACCTCTAAAGAAATTCAAGGGAAAATTTTTATTTCTCTTATAGTTCTAATTTTCATTATGTGTTTCAGAGTTGTGCAAGAAATTTTTGAAGGACATTTTGAGTAAGATCTCGCTCAAAAATTTGAAGAAGGTATTTGAATATCTTATATTTAAAAAAAAAATTGAGCAATGCTCTTCAAAGATTGGAAATCCTTGAATATTTTTTATTTTAAAAAAACTTTGAGCAAATGATCTTTAAAGATCGAGATCATTGAAGATTTTTTATTTAAAAATAATTATGATCGTTTATGTTGTTCGTCTTATAAGATGTTATAAGAAATTAGTATTTTTATAAAATAAAATTAAAGTGGGTTAATTATAAAAGTTAAAATATATAAATTGTAAGCATGTTAAATTAAAATTTCAATCAAGATGTGCCATAAATAAGTGACGATGCCATATTCGTTATTTTTTAAATTTTTTTGCAAATGGAAAATTATATATAGTACTTAAGTTAAATTAAATCTAGTTGAAGATTTGGCACAGAAAAATGGCAATTTTAATGATCATTATTTTTAAACTTTTTTTGAAAATGGGTAAAAAATATATATTATAAACAAGTTATATAAATTCAACGAAGATGTATCATACATAGAAAAGTGACAGTTGTCATAATCGTTTTATTTTTGCTGAATATGGGCAAAAATATATAGTGTAAAAAAACGAATCGAATATCGAATAATTTATTATTCGTAAATTCTAAAGTTTATAAAAAATAGATTATATTTTGCAAAAATTAATTATAAACAGAAGTGGATGTTTTGAAATGACACTAACTAAAAAAACTAAATTAATTGTCATTAGCATATCAAAATTTACAGAAAATAAGCGGAATAAAACCCAATAATTTTATAAACGTTATCCAAACAAGTTGGCCAAAATCACCTGATTTTTAGATTTAGAATTGCTTATAATTATACATTATTTCTTCAATCTAATATTCTAAATTTTATTAAAATTTTCTTTTATAAACATCAAAATATAATACATAAAAAATACAATTATGGTAGATCTGAATTTGATAATAACCAGTTTTTTATGCATAAAGTCTTTCTTATGGTTTCTACCTTCAAAGACATTCTATTTTTCGTTATCATATTTGTCCCCTGAAAATAACGGCTCACATGAAGCTGAAGATCCTTGAATGGACAATATATCAATTGCCATTTTCGACAACACGGGAAAATGATCCCCATGCAATCTCCACCATTCTAGGGGGCTCTTATTAGAAGTAATTCTTAATTCATTAAGATAAGTTTGAACTCGCATATTGGTAAGATGATATTTTGTTTAAGGATTCTATCTATATTTGACTATTATTGCGTTATCTGATGTTGTATTTATAGTGTATTTCACTTTGCGTTGTATACATCCTTGAATTTTTGTAATAGATTTATTGTATCTATTTTATATGATGTTGGTAATTGTTGAAAAAATTCTAATTTTAGTCTTGGATCTAATATCGTTGATATTATTGTTTCAATATTTGTTAACTTGTAATAGTTTTCTATTTTCTCAATCGCATTGAGGGTGTTTATAAAAGTGTGGTCAAATGAGTTTAAATGTTCAATTAACGAAAAATAAAATGGGATCACAAGATTTAAGGTGGGATATGTGTTACCACAGATATCTTCAGTAAAATCAAAAAAAGTCTTTAATTTTTCTTGTATATTTATCAAAGACATCCAATTATTCTGGTAAAAAATAAAAATAGTAAATAAACCAATTAAAATACTTCACTCAGTTGTCTTCTATATCATCATATATCTGAGTCACAACTTCATCGATGATTAGTGCAGAGGTGATTTTTTTCTTACACATTATTTCTACCTTGCAGATTTTACATTTGGCAGTTTCTACTTTAGAATCATAAAGATAATGATTCCATATTAAGGAATTTTTCCGCCTTGCATTAATGGGTTCAGCTTGATCAGATATTGATTGGATAGATATATCTAGAACTAGTTGAGGATTGGCTTTGTCCATCACCACCTCCTCCATCAAGATTTTCAAATTGATATAAATATATTTAAAATTATATAAAATCTAAGTTTACCATCCTTCCGGAAACAGATCGTTGATATATTAGCAGCTGAAAGAAAAAATATTTAAAACAACTTAAGAAACATAAATTAATTAAATCTTCCGAACATTAGTAATTTTTTTAACCCTTCACTACACAGGTGGGGTAAATACAATATAATCTTTGTAATACAAAACCTAGTAGATATTCTGACCTGATTTTTACATTAGTTTAATATTTGTAACAAGGAATACAACTTCCAAATTTCATGATTATTGATTTGACAGTTTTTGAGATATATGTAATTTGTCGAACTCTGGGTAAAATATTCCCCACACCACATGTGTAATTACATTCTTTTTTGTTACTAATTATGATTATATATGGCAGGTTAATATATAAAATTGAATTTTTTTTATTTATTTCTATATTTTGATTAATATACATGACTTAAATTTAACATATGATTTATAATTTAATTATTCTAATGAAAGTAATTCTATAGGTAATAGATTTTGAATCAAGTGATGATTACTTTTTATTAGATAGCAATCACAATTCGGAGATTGAGGAATCACAGAGATATGTTTGATAATTTTAATGAAAACTGTAATAACTCTTATAGTGTTGGACAATATGTTGCAATTGATGAAATGCTTCCATCTTTTAGAAGGAAAATCCCTTTAAGCAATACATGCCAAATAAGCCTTCAAAATAATTCATGCCCTAATGGATTCAAGAATATTTTAATCTTTATAAATAAAATTATATACTGGCAATTTTAAATTGAGTAATAAACCTTTTGATGTGCTTGAAATACTAATTCAACCAATTTCTAAGACTAATATATATGTCATCACAGATAACTAGTTTACCAGATATGAACTTGCTAAACATTTGTTATTGTTAAATTCCCATTCATTAACTATAGTAGAAACCCTTAAGAAAAAATAAAAAGCAGATTCCAACATCATTTAATCTTTAAAAAGAAAGATATTTATTCAAGCTTATTTGCCTTTCAAGATAATATGACATTAGTGTCTTACACATACCAAAAAAGTATAAGCATGTTATTATGCTTTCTACCCTTCACAAAGGATTTTTTTTTGAGCAACTTTAGTAAAAATATCATAACTTTATCGAAATATAGAAATTTTATATTTATTATCTCTAAAAATTTTACATTGTTTAAAATTTTAGGTCTTAAATTTTATTATTATCTGAGATCAGCGTTGTGCATTTGACAGGTCAAATAAGATTCGGTCAATTGACCGATATTTGACCGGTCAAATATGGTCAAATTCAAATAGTAAAATGTATGGATATTAAATTATTTTCTAATTTCTATAATGAATTCGCTCTTTATGGCTGAGCAGTGGCGTAGCTAGAAATTTTCCTTAGAGGGGGTCCATACATATAAAAGCACTGGGGGCTTCGCCCCCAGACCCCTTTTAACGGGCCTTCGGCCCTTTTGCCCATAACCATATCTTCGATAATATATAATAAATATATTTTTAAATGCATCAATAATTTGTTTTATAATTTAGTAGATTATTCTCAATGACTTTATAATAATACTATCCAGAATAATTTCAATAGTAATATAATATCCTTCCACAAACATCAAAACCAGAAAAATATAAATATTATTGATATTTATTTGATATAAAGTCACCACTTATAAGTCTTTAACGTATAATCTAAAAATAAATTTTTGCTCTGGGAGGGGTCCAAACCCGAAAACCACCCCCGTAGCTACGCCACTGTGGCTGAGCCTTATTCTAATTTATATTCAATTTTATCATTTTCTTTAACATTTTTGAATCTTAGGTTATGAGATACTCCTACCAACTTCTGGTTGTCGAGATCAGTGTTGTTAAACACTACTTTTAAAAGTAGCGCGCTACCGCTATCGTATATTTCTTTTTCACAAATATATAAATAAAATTAATTAAAATAATTTACTTTGTTGGGGCATCAAACAAAATATAACATATGATTAGGGAAAAAATAAAGTAAAATGAAATGGAATGCACTAGGAAAATTTAATTTTATTTATTATTTACTTACGATTTACGAATATTAACGAAAAAATAAAATATTTACGAAAAATTATGAATATTTACGAATATTTATAAATAATTTTGAATAATAAGAATAATTTCGATTAATACGAATATTTACGATTAATACGAATAATTTCGAATAACACGAATAATTTCGAATCGAATAATAAAAATTTACTATTCGACGAATACTTTTTCTAAATATTCATTTCGAATCGAATAATTGTGATATTCGTATTCGTAAAATACGAATCGAAACGAATTGAATCGAATTTCGAATAACAAATAATTCGTTTTAGGCGTAAGTGTAAACATGTTTAATTGAACTATCAGATAATATATAATCATAAAAGTGATGATGATAGTTATTAAACCTTTTCTTTTGCGGTAAATAGTTAAAAATATATATCGTTAACATGATCAATATTAATGAAGACGTAAAATAATAAAGTGAGAATTGTTATATTCATTATTTATTAAATTTAAACGTAAAATAGAACTGATGATGTATAAAAATATATATTGTAAACCAGGCTGTAGTAAGAGGTCACCATCTTCATTTAAATTAGTGCTACAGATCCAATTTTTTAAAATAATATGGGCTTAGCATTTTAGAATTTCGTAAAAGTAATGTTTTACTAATCTACAATAACACACCCTTTAGGAGTAATAAGGTAAAAATCAAATTTAATCATAAATCCCAATTTTTAAATATTGTTATAATTAAAAGAAATCAAAATAAGCCTCACAATAAAGATAATTTCTAACACAAAGATATATATGCTAATTTATAATTGATAAATCTTTTTTAATGATTTACATATATAACACTCTGAAAATTTCACCTCTCTTCTAGAATATATCTTTTGCCTAACCATTAATAGCAAAAGTAAATTCAAAATTATTTGTAAAACCTATGTCCTAACCCTAAATCTAAGTCCAATCATTACATTGCAATTGATCATTATAATAGAATTTGAACTGTTAATAAATTTTATTCGAATCTATATAAGAGTATTCGAACCTTTAAAAATTTGTTTTGATTATTAAATATGTTATGAAATCTTAGGGAGATATTATTATTTTTATTTCTTTTATCGATTTTTTGGATTGTTATTATTTTTATTTTCTTTTATCGATTTTTTTGAATTGTGACTAATTTATTTTGACCAATTCTTGGAATTGTATTTTTTTGAAAAAGATTTTGTTTTTTTGCTTGGAAAATGAAAATAAAAAGTTGTATGAAAAATAATAAAATTGAAGAAAGAAAATTCATTCAGTATTAAGGAAATCTAACATTATTTAAGATTACATAAATCTCGACTTAGAAATTCGGCGACTTAGAAATTCAACAAATAAGGAATCTAACACTGGCGACGAACAGAGGAAATAACTAAAATTCGATATAAAAGTATCTAAGATGACACCATCGAATCCCATAGGGTGATCCTTTCTCAACATTTCATATTAAATTAGAGGCGTATTTCATATTGAACGATATATCTGACAACGAGAAAAAAAGGGCAGCACTCGTATCTGTATCGTCCACCTACGACTTAAATAAAGTAATTTTAAAATTCTCTCCCAAATCTATTAATAAAATTTAATATGACGATATATTAGATTCTTTGATAGCTAACGAAAAAAAAATAGGACCATTGGAAAGTTTCCAATTTGTTAAACGTACCCAAAGAGAGGGATAAACTAATTTGAAATTTTTAAATTCGTTAAAGGCTTTAGCATTGAAATGCAACTTCAAAATTTAAAAATGCAGATAATCAACGGATTGGAGAGATAAGAGATCAAAACAAAGTTATTATTAGAAGAGGACATGGGAGTAGAGGAAATCGAAAATATCCTCCGAACTATGGATTTGATAGAGGAAAAAGAAAAAGCAAAAGATATATTTTATTGTCAAGATGGAAATGATCGAGGCGAAGATAAAATAGAAAGTAATAAAAAAAATTATATACAAGATAATCAAAAGCTCAATAGTAATAATAATAGCCAGGAACGATATAGTGACAATTATCCTTACAAGACAAGATTGGATAATAGATTTATTAGATATAATTATTATAACAACTCGAAGTATGGAAGGCATAATAATGATAACCCGCAGTACAATTATAATAATAATGATAACAATTATAATAATAATGATAACAATTATAATAATAATGTTAACAAATATAGTAATAATGATAACAAATACTATCGATATAATTGGTAAGATAACAATGAATTTTATCATAAAACCAAATATCAATATTCTGATAAGATTAGGGGAAAGTACAGCACTAACAATAATAACTATAAATACAATGACAATCAATTTTACCAGACAAAAAAAACTTGCTTCAAATGCGGTAGTAACAAACATTTGATTAAATCTTGCGATCAAAAAACAACGAGGAAGATATATCCTATATATACTCGATGGATATCAAATCTTGTAAGGAAAAATTCAAAGTCAATCTAAGTATAGAGGGTAAGAAAATAAACATGATCCTAGATACAGGAGCATCAGTATCAATTATTTCGTTGAAGACTTGGAATACTATCAACTCCGATAAAATGATTCATGATTCGGGCACAAAATTAAGGACGTACGAAGGTAACGAAATAGCCATTATAGGTAGCGTGGACATGAAAGTTCAAATAAAAGATATCATAAAAAATCTACCTTTGGTTATAGTGAAATCTGATGGACCATCATTGGTAGGCATTAACTGGCTGAAGGAATTTAGAGAATTGATATGGAAAGAATCATATTAGGAGGGACCGAAGTGGACGATAATAATATAATAATATATATTACGTGGGACAAGAATTGAAAGCAATAACGGAAAAATACATAACAATATTCGATAAAAAGTTAGGAAAATTGAACAATATGGAAGTCCATCTGAATATAAAAGACAATGCGACCCCAAATTTTTGTGCCCCTAGGAAAATTTCATATGCTTTAGAAGAAAAGGTTGATGAGGAACTAACAAAATGGATCGAAAACGACGTAATAGAACCTATAAAGTATTCGGAATGTGCCAATCGTCTGATAATTAAGCCCAACGGGAGTATAAGGCTTTGCGTAGACTACAAAATAACTATAAATCTATGGATGATAGCGGATATATACCCTATCCCTAGAATACAGGAAATATTTAATAAATTAAGAAAAGGGGAAAAGTTTTCAACCATTGACTTTTCAAATGCATACCACCAAATAGTAATAGATTCTGATTCGAGGAAGTATTTAGCTATTAACACTCATAAAGGTCTGTTTCAATTCAAAAGAATGTTATTTGGAATAACTCCGGCGTCAGCAATCCAAATGACTATGGACCTAATTTTTGGGAAAATGATAGGAGTAGCATACTATATTGACGATTTAATAATCACAGGTTCTTCGGATGAAGATCATCTAAATAATCTAGAAAAAGTATTCCAACGAATGTCGGAATTCGGTCTAATTATGAAAAGAGTAAATTTCTTAAAGAAAAAGTAAAATATCAAGGTCACATCATATCCAGTAGAGGTCTTATGCCCTCAGAGGAGAAACTAGAAGCCATAAAGTATGCAACTCGGAGCCAGTTAATAAATTGCAGTCGTTATTAGGCCTTATGAATTATTACCATCGATTCATAAAAAAAATTTCAACGATTGCGCCACCCCTCTATGATTTATTAAAGAAAGGTAACACTTTCCTATGGACGGAAGAATGCAGATCAAGTATGGAAATTGTAAAGAAATGTTTGACCAATCCTCCAATAATCGTTCATTTTGATCCAGATAAAGAGATCCAACTCACTACGGATGCATCTATAAAAGATGTAGGAGCCGTACTATCTCATACCGAAAAATGCATCCGAGAATCCCATAGGTTTTGCTTCACGGACACTATCAATAGCAGAAAAAAACTACTCAACTATCGAAAGGGAAGCATTAGGGCTCGTATTCGGAATAAATAAATTTTATGAATATTTAGTAGGTCAAACTTTTACAATATGGACTGACCATAAACCACTTATATATATATATTCGGTAGCAAAAGTTCGGCAAATATAACGTCACCACGATTGCTCAAATGGTCTACTAATGCTAGGAGGGTACAATTGCGAGATAAAATACAAGGCTGACAAGGAAAACAAAGTGGCAAACGGACTCTCAAGATGCCCAATGGAAGATAATACCAAAGATCATAATGAAGTAGTATATTTTATAAACGAGTATTCTATATCAGCAGATTCGGAAAAAACTAGAAAACGAACGTTAAAAAAGTTAAAGGAAAGTATAAAAACTCAATTCAAGGTAAAAAATGACAATATACTCAAACAATATGAAATGTGCAAAAACAATTTATGGGAACAGATGGATGTTTATATAAAGGGGAAAGAATAATAATTCCAACAGAATTGCGGGAAAAAAATACTAAACAAATTACATAGTGGTCATCAAGGAATCGTCAGAATGAAAAGCTTAGCCAGGCAATATGTATGGTGGCCCGGAATTGACCGTGAAATAGAATAACTATGCCTTCAATGCGAATCGTGTAATACATGGGCAAACAATCCTCCAAAACAAGATCACCATTGAGAGAAAACGACAAGACCGTGGCAAAGAGTCAATATAGATTTCGCAGGACCGTTCAAAAACACCATGTGGCTAATATTGGTAGACGCTTTTACCAAATGGGTTGAGGTAAAAGGAATGACGACCACCACATAAGAGAGAACCATGGGGGTATTAGGTGAAATATTTCCTAGATGGGGATATCCGGAATCGTTAGTATCGGATAACGGACAGCAATACTAGTCGTCATTCGAAGAATATTGCAAGAGACATAGAATAAACCACATACTGACCCCTCCTTATCACCCGAGCTCCAACGGAGAGGCGGAACGGATGGTGAGAACAGTTAAAACTGCCATGGAGAAAAATGCAACCAATAACAAGTACAATAATTTAAACGAATTCTTCTTTTTAGCTTATAGAAACACCCAGCATACGACTACGGGACAAATCCCCGCACAGATGATATTTGGACGGAATGCTCGGAATCATCTCGAAATGATTAAAGAAACACATTTGAGCAAACGAGACGATACGCACGCAGATCAAAGAGGTTCATTTTTCATGATAGCACAATCAGTATGGACGAAAACTTATAGTGACAAAGTAAAGTGGATCAAGGGGACTATAGTGGGCCGATCGGGGAAGTTCCTATATACTGTGGATACCGCTAAGGGCCAGTGGAAGAGACATAAGGATCAAATTAGAAAATCTTTTTAAAAAAGGGAGATGTTTAGAGAGATATTATTATTTTTATTTCTTTTATCAATTTTTTGGATTGTTATTATTTTTATTTTCTTTTATCGATTTTTTTAAACTGTGACTAATTTTTTTTGACCAATTCTTGGAATTGTATTTTTTTAAGAAAGATTTTGTTTTTTTTTCTTGGAAAATGAAAATAAAAAGTTGTATGTAAAATAATAAAATTGAAGAAAGAAAATCCATTCAGCATTAAGGAACTAACATTATTTACGTAATTCTCGACTTAGAAAGTCGGCAACTTAGAAATTCAACAAATAAGGAATCTAACAAAATATAAATAACTATTATATAGCTATTTTTAGTGATAACAACACATACCCAAGTTGTATAGAAATGTTCTCAGTCATAAAATTTATTTTATCTTATTTTCTAAATATTTATAATAATAATCTGTTTAAAAAATTATATTTTGAGAAGATCGATAATGTTACAACATTTTTTAATGTTCCTAGTCTTACCTTAACAACTTTATTTTGTGCTTCATTAATTGTCATTTCAAAAAGTATTCCTTAATTTTGTGATAACTTCATTAAAATCATATCATTTATTGAAATAAGACAATATATTTGCAGAGTTTAATAACTGAATAATTCAAAATCTTATATAAATAATGGAAGAGATTTAATTATTGTTTTATCAATCAGTTGTAAAGAGATATAGACGTTGATTTATAAAATATTTTCGATAAACAGGAGTTTATCTAATATCAAGGTATTGATTATAATATATGGTTTACATTATGATTATTGATTTTCATTTTTGTATTTTTATATTTTGAAGAATCAAATATTATTTTTGATTATAGAAAATTATATTGCTTAATTTAATATTAAAAAATAGAATAATTATATGAACCCAAAAATGGTTTTTAAGAAGAAAATAAATTTATAAAAATATTACAGTAAATATTCAAAAATATTATACATATTTTTTAATTACCCCTAATCTATTTTGCTGATTATATTTCTTTAGGCTCTTACAATTAATAATGATAACCTAAATTAGTCTTTTGTTTGGAACTATGTAGCTTAGTTAAATCAATTTGATTGCTATTCTACTTTTTTCCTTTCGTTTAAATATTTACCGACCCGTGGTAGCAGAGTTAATACTTTTAAACTGCTCGGTTAAATTCACGATGAATATTGAGAAAAACACACATGGTGAGCCATCGAAATACAATAAAAAGGACGATATTAAGCCAGCTAAACGTAAACGTTCCTCTAATGTTAAATATGTTGAAAAGGAGCCAGAAATACATACAAAAAAATGCGAAAAAACAGGCTGTAAAGTTCAAGTTCCAATATGCTTTGTTAGAGCTTCAGAGAAGTTTATTTAAACCCATGTACACTCTGTTTAATTCTTATATTCAGATGCGCTTTAAATGGGAATACTTCTCGATGGTATCATATATCATCTGGAGAGCATTTTTGCAATGAATGCTTTGAACATTTTTATCGAAAGTATGAAATTAAATGTTTTATTTTTAATAAAAAGTTGTCATTTATATATTATATATATAGATGATAACGAGGAATAATATTTATTTTATTTCAAATTTATTTGATTATATAATAATGAAAACATAACTTTTATAATCAACTTAATTTAAAGAATTTTCAATAATGCTTTGTCTATATTTTAATTATTTTTGCAAAGAAAATAATTTTATATGGATGGGTTTTAATTAAACATAACTTTAATCAATTTATTTTATTTGTAATATAGTACTAAATCAGGTCATTCTTTATACAATACATGGAAAGAAAAGTGGGTATCTAATGCATTAACCCAACCATCTATTCGAGCTTACATGGCAGATCAGATGCTTCCATATTGGATTCAATGTACATCTAATAATTGTCTCAAATGGAGACAAATATCAAGAGATTACAAAGTTACAAGTGACTTTATAAAAAATTACAAATGCGGATCTCACATACCTGTTAACAATAAGAAATTTATAGATCATTGTGCCACCCAAGAAGATAAAGTATGAATCTTAAAAAAAATTTATTAATCAAGTAGGTTCTAAAATTTTTTAAAAACAAAATTAATAAGGTTATCTTATTAAGCAATAGATGTGTACCCTTGAATTTTCCCTATTTTAATCTAGCCAGTTCTATTAAAATATTAGTTCATTTTTAAATTTAAACATATTTACTTAAATTATAAATTTAATGGGAGATTAATAAACATAGTATTCACTACACAAAAAAAAAGAAAATTGTATATTTTTTTTATAAATCTGAGAATTACAATTTCTATGCTTTTTAAGCTTAAGTTTGTATCTTGGTAAAATAATTTAGTTCACTTTTGTACCAATGTTTAAAAAAATGAATCTAATATTTTTAAAACAATGGGCATGGGGTGGTCAGGTACATTTGAAATATTGATTGAAAATGAGCACAACAATATTTTTCAAAATTTATTGCATATTTTATAAGTTTGCATGAAAATAAAATAAATAAAGAATCAAACCAACCAATAAAATAATTTTTCAACGCAGGTGGTTAAACAAAATTTTAATATCAATAAGTATGTGAGTGGGTGAATTTAAAAAAAACCATGCACAAGTGGGTGAGCAGGTTAAATCTTTTAAACGGGTGATAGTTTGGGTTAAGAACCCACCCATATTATACACATCGAATTAAATATAATGTCTTAATTACATTAAATTTTTGAAAAAAGATTATTATAAATAGGTAGAAAAGTAAGGCCATACAAACTGCAATAATTTTCAATAAATATTTATTTCCATTATTTTGCCATTGTTAAAGTACCACCTTACTATGTCCAAAATATAGATTGGTAATATCATCGTGGTCCTATACATTTTACATATCGATAACAAAAATATTAATATTTTTTGATCTTTATCTTGCATAATAGTTTATTTTCTAATTCGCCAAAACATTGTCCATGTTTTAAATGTGATGACCAAATTTTTTGAGAATAAAAAAATCAAAATATGCTTGATTAATACTCCAAATATCACCATGGTTAGATGGAAAATTTCATTACTTCATGTTTAGTACATTGTTTACAGTTAATTATTTTATTTATATAATTAGTCCAAGATATATGGTTGTCTGTTAAAATTAAATAATAGTATTTAGTATTGATCTTAACTTTTAAATATCTAGATATATAATTGTCACTAATTTATTCAATGGTATATTCTTTACAATAATATTTACCTAAAGGTATTTTTTGTACCTATATTAATCCAGTGCATGATTTTATAATGTGAATGCTTGGTCATATAAATTTTGTTATGGAGGTATTTAAAACATATTATTTTGCAAATATACCAACAATTTATATATATTCTGCTTATCATCCAAATTAATAAACCACTCCAAAACATTGTCCATGTTTTAAATGTGATGACCAAATTTTTTGAGAATAAAAAAATCAAAATATGCTTGATTAATACTCCAAATATCACCATGGTTAGATGGAAAATTTCATTACTTCATGTTTAGTACATTGTTTACAGTTAATTATTTTATTTATATAATTAGTCCAAGATATATGGTTGTCTGTTAAAATTAAATAATAGTATTTAGTATTGATCTTAACTTTTAAATATCTAGATATATAATTGTCACTAATTTATTCAATGGTATATTCTTTACAATAATATTTACCTAAAGGTATTTTTTGTACCTATATTAATCCAGTGCATGATTTTATAATGTGAATGCTTGGTCATATAAATTTTGTTATGGAGGTATTTAAAACATATTATTTTGCAAATATACCAACAATTTATATATATTCTGCTTATCATCCAAATTAATAAACCACTCTATGATATTCATCATCATATCCCATAAACTATTTATTCGATGACACAACTAGTAGATGGAAGGCTGACACATCTCCAAACACTCCTTTTCAATCAATCATCACCCACAAAAACCTTTTCACACCTTTAATATTCAATCAGTCCACATTTAGACTGTACTCAATTTCTCAAGTCAGAAGGCAGATTTGGTGATCACGAATAGCTAGACACACCACTTAGTCGTAATCTTAGTAATCTCTTATTAGATGAACAAAACCACCATCGTATTACGCCTTGGGTGTCAACCTTATACTTGTGTTTATACTCTAAATTAAAAATTAATTTTTAAAAGAAAGAGGTGATATCCAAGATGGATTAGGATCTATCGGAATAAATTTGCTGAACCCTCGGTATCTTAATATATGATTTTACTTGTGTCTAACTATTTCCTTCTACACCCAACATAAATTTCTTAATTTAAACTGAAACAAAAAAAGATTGAAAAAAAAATAGTCACCTCCACATACGGACATTTTTCGCCTAAAACTTTAAATTTTAAAAACCATCATCCACAAAATCAGACATTTTATCAACGAGGCTATGGAATTTCTTTTTATCCGACAAATAATTCAATTTGAAATATTCCGACACGTCTCCATTTTGGGAACGCAAATAATCTATATTTTTAATGAATTATTTTATAATATATTATTTTAAAATAAAATTTTCTGAGTAGATTGATTTCTAAGACTTTTTTTGTACTACAAGAGGAAAAAACCGCAAAGAAGCATGCCCGAGAACAAGCTGTTACGGCATTTTTGGATCTGGAAGAGCTTATTTGGAATGCCCTCTAGAGAAATATTAAAAAGGTCTGGATCTGATGTTTCATATAAAGCAGATACATTATTAGATTCAATACAATAGCCCATTTTTTTTTGCATTGGGATATACTAATAAATTATTTATTTAACCACAATTTTATGAATTTGGTTTTTTTCAAAAGATATTAATATTTCTGAAGGCCTATTAATTTCAGAATTTAAATCTTGGTATGAAAGATTGATTTTAGTAGATAATCCTCCAAAAATAGTAATATTTTAGAGTTTGTTTTTCCAAATATATTAAAATTACTATATATTTGCAACAATACCAATTATTACAAATTCAAATGAGGATCTTTATTTCATTGCGGCAAATAAAAACCTATCCCGAAAGTTCATCTTAAAATCAATTGAATGGACTAGCTTTACTTAATATACATAGGGATTTAATCTCCTTTTAGAACAAATTATTAAAAAATAGGCGCAATCGCATAGAAGGTTAAATTTCCATTTATGAACGATATTTTGTTTACTTTTTAAATCATCATAATTTTATAATTTACTGTGTAAACTATTTTAGCAATATTATATTCGTTCTTGAGTATTTTGTATTTTTCAATATTTTATTATCTGTATTCGAAATTTTTATTTTTAATATAATTGGTTATTATAAATTTTATATTGATTAGTTCTTATAAATTTTTAATGTTTCAAAAAAAAATATCCCCTATCTCCCCTTATATAAAATTCCTGGCTACGTTTCTGAAATAAAGATAGATAAAAATAAATGCTAGACCAACCATTGTATTTATATTTATTGTTACTAAAAAATATGATTGGGTGGATATTGGTGTAAAGAATACCAATGGATAAATATTGGGGTCAAAAATTTAATGACGATTATATTTCTAGATACTTACAAATTAAGATCACTACTTAATATTATTATTAGATTTTAACAGTCAAACAAGTTTTTATCAAAGGACACTTTCTCCTATATGAAATTTATTTAGCTATATGGAATACGCGTTCAGCTAGTAAGATAGAAGGAATATCATATTTAATAAAGAATTTGTTAAATATTGGGGAAATTATTAATTTGAATATACCCGTATTTGTTAATATCGATGAAATTTAAATAAACGTTTCTATCATTATATTTATACATATATATAGAATACAAATGAGGAAAATATACTTGTTTCGGTACCGTTGAACCCTTTTTTAATTTGTCGTTATCATTTTCTATATAAATTATCTTTAACAACTCTTTTTTTTTTCATATTAAAATTTTTTTATTCTACGAAAAATAGAGGGTAAGTGAAGCCATAGAAAGCTCTTGGTGGTCTACATTGAATACATTGTCATTGCTTAAAGACTGTCCTTCAGCCCCTTACCTTATGTCCTATTTTCCTGATGGAGTTGGGTTGAGTCCTCTTAGTAAAAATACTATTCCATCAGAGCAAAGTTTGATTTTTATTTTTTTTTACAAAAAACTTTTATATTACATTTTTTTTTTTTTAAAATTAATAATCACTTTAGTCATAATATATAAATTGAATTTTTGGTATTATCTTTTTTTTCAAGTTTAACTGTACTTCATTTTTTCATATTATTAGGAATATAAATTATGATTTCTAATAAAAATTCCTGAATTAGCAACTGATTTTTTAAAATATATATTTATTATTGTTTAGAGCCTGAGGTATTTGAAAATCCCTATTTTAAACCCTTCTACAATCCCAACGAAATGGCAAGGGCTCTTTGTGTTAGGCCTGACATTATGGAATACGACGAAGCTAAAGAATTTCCGCAATTTGTTAGGTATATAAATTATAATTATTTCCGTTAAATTATCGCTTTTTAAAATATTTAAAATTCTTCAGTTTCCCATCAACCTCTTTCTGATTTAATTTACCCACAATTTCCGATATGATTCGCTAAGCTTTTAATTATTGCAAATTTTTTATCCTATCAAATTTATACTAATTTTTGGTTAGTATAGGGAAATAGTCTATTTTTGTTTTTTTTTGATTATCGTGAAAAAGCCTTTCGAATAATCTTCAGCAAAATATATTTTTAACAACTATTACCTATATGTATGTATATCCTAAGGTTATCTAGCATGTATTAGCTGATGCCGTTGGTAGATACCGCTGAACAGCGGTTTAGAAAAATTTGATATATTAAGCTATCCCTTACTTCCTATTTAGATAAAAAAACAAAAGCTAAGCTTATACAATTTTATTATTTTTTTGGCGTTAAAATTGGTTTCTGTTTTAAAATTCTTTAATTGTTCTTAAGTTTTTTATAAAATAAAATGAAAAAAATTTTTGAAACAACTTTTACCCTGTATTCATAGTTAGCATGAATTCACATATTAGTATGCAAAATATGCTGTATTTTTATATACTTCGCTGCGAATTCGCGTTAACTGTTAGTGGAGGTTTAGACTGAAGCCTGTCATTATTTTTATTAACAAAAATTAGACTTATTAATTTTTAAATTTGAACTAGATTTCAATCATTTTCTAACATATAATCTTTCGAACCATAATAATTTGCGCGAAAAAAAGAATACAAAATAACCATAAAAATAATTGCAAATAAAAATAAATTAATTTTTGTGAATAAAAAAAACAATAATTACATGCTTCCCGCTTAATGATTGTTCAACTTAAATAGAATTAAATTATTCCTATACTTCTTGCTGATTGACACCACAATAATATCAAAATTTGAGTCATTTTCAAGGCCAATCTATTAGCCCAGCCCATCATCATTATAATATAGGCCTGGCCCATGGCCTGAAAATTAATAATGATATATGTGTGTCCTTCCTAAATTCTTCCCTTTTTGGCTTGATTGAATATTACAATTAAATGTATATACAAAAAGATAATATGGGAAATATTTACATTGCTATTAATTTCCGTCGTTAAATATAATAAAGTAGGAGTTTGAGATTTTCCTCTCGATGAGCTTTTGAAGAGTCTGTTCCTCCACTGGCCTGGCATGGATCTAAAAATACCATTTGATGTGGGCAGATTTGGGCCAAAGATGTTTAAGTTTGCGGGTCTCTAATTAGAATAATTATTCAGTGAAACTGGATTCCTTGATAGCTTAGACTAGGGCTATAAACCCAAATTATGGTTCAAAAATTTAAAATTAATTGGACATTTTGAGACCTCCGACCAAATGGTGACCCATTTATGGATAACTTATCTAACCATGGATGTGGATATGCGCTACAATTTAAAAAATTCAGGTTGTATTGGTCTCATACTTTTTTTTCCGTATCGACCAAAAAAAATAGTACCGAGAACTTTTGCTTATATAATTTTCATTATACTAATACCTAATTTGGGTTTAAGTTAACGTTTTTAAATATTTTGCCATTTTTTTTATTGTATAAGGGTGCCAGCTATTTACCTAGCTATAAGAAACCTACTTTTAGTGCTCTGGTATCGTGAACCAACTAAAGTTATTGTCTGGTCCGAGTTGTATACTCACGTGATTTGTAGAGGTCTGATGCGAGTTCATTTGGCGGGTCTTTCCTGTCGCATTTTGGAGTTCGCTACCCGAAAAGGACTCATAAATACGGGTTTACTGACCGCGGATAGGCCGTTGTTGAAGTTAGACGGGGTAAAATAAAATTCTTCATTAAATAGTTTTAATTTTTTTTTTCCCATTTTGAAAGATATATCTTCTTTATTAATTCAAATTAAATTAATCTTATTTTGAATCGGAACGCCTCTCCACTTTTTCTTATTTATTTATAGAAATTTATCATTATTACTACTACTACTTTGTGTGAGTTCAATTAAGAAAGAAGGACAGAAAGTACATTATTTGAGGTCAGCCTTAGCCTAAAAGCGTGCTCAGCTGGGAACCGGTAAATTTTTAGCAACCTATTTTAGCGCTCTGAGCTGAAAATCTTTTTCAAAAATTTGCTCTCGAACCGGTTGGGTGTCAAAATTAAGGACTACAAATCGTGCCCCATCCCCAACATATATTATTTTCCGATAGCTCGAAATTTATATATATTATATAAATATTTCAGAATGAACGTGTCGTCGTTATAGGGGCCGGTATTGCCGGACTAGCGGCCGCGCGTCAATTGCACAATTTTGGATACAAAGTTTAATGAAAAAAAATTATTTTTTCATTTTGCGATTCTGTTTTACACTTTAAGAATTAGAAATTCTTATTTTTTTAAAACGTGTCTTAAGTTCGACTTATTATTATATAGCCCGCTATTTAGTTAAAAAAGAAGAAGAAATTTTAAAAATAAAACGTCAATCACACCAATAAAACATGCAAACAAAATAGTGTCTTAGTTCAAAAAGTTTTTAGTCTATACTAAAAAAAATATTAAGTATTCAAATTAGGTCGAACCAGGACACGGCCTTAATGATTTTAGTTTGGCTTTGTTTTAAGAAGAATAAGAAGAAAAATTGGTTTAGAGAATGAAATTTAACATATCGTCTGCTGAATATTATATTATTCTATTCTTCCATATTTCACCAATAAATATAATTTTAGAATACTCCTTTATTTGTATTATAATGGTGCGATCTCATATCCATATCTATCTATTTAAAATACAAGAAATATATATTTTTTTGAATGCTCTCATGAAAAATTAATTTTTTTTATAGAACAATAATACTCAGACGATGTAGTGTTTTACCTTGAAAGTTCCAAAACTTTAAGTGTGCATCATTTTTAAATAATTAAATCGATAAAAATTGATACTCTTCAATTGTGAGTTAATATGGTCCAACTCAAGGAAAGTGTCGTTTAAATTTCTATTCGTCTATTAATTTACTTTATTAAAAACCATTTTTAATTACATCTTAACCCATATTCTTTCAAACCTTTAATTAACCCTAACCCCATATCTTATTTAACCTTTAATCCTACTCCTTACTTCAGATACTTATTTAAATATATTTTGTCCAATTAAAAAAATTTCCTATAGTTGAACATTCATTGAGTTGAGGTATTATCAAAATATACTTTATCCTAGGTAGAACTTTTAAAAAAAACTTTCTTCTTTTTTTAGGTTACGGTTTTGGAGGCGAGAGACTGTATCGGAGGAAGAATTTTGGACGATTCAAGCCTGACGCGAGATAAATCTATGCGTGAGTAGGATTCGATTTATTAATTTGTATAGTGAGGTGGAATATAAACATTTGCTTAAATGATCCTTGTATAAATATAAAAAAATTATCAATTTTTAAATGACAGCTGTAGTTTAGAAGATTAGATATCCGTTTACTGAGATTTAGCAGGATCTGGCGTTTATTTCCGGGAATACAATTTTTAATATTAGGGTAAGAAAGTTATAAAAGGCTGATATGGGGTTGGTTTAAATATATATTTTAAAAATGATTTTGTTAAGTAAATTTTTATATGTTGACCAACGCTATATATATCATTCATTACCCGTAAACATTAAAATTTCATTTAATTGATAAACTAATTAAATTTAGATATTAATTAAGCTGAGAAATTAATTAAATTACATTAAAAATTAACTATATAGAATTGTTTTATTGTAATCTTTAAAAAATCATACAAAAAAAATTGCATCATTTAATAATTAAACATAACAACCGTCTGATTTTTATACAAAATATTATAACTATTCAAATTTAAATTATAGAAAAACTTTATTTTAAAATGAATCAAAAAAAAAACTATAAACACTAAACTTTCAACAATAACTATTAAAATACAAATTATATAAAAAAAACTTTATTTTACAATATATAAAATAAGATAGACAATGACCCCTTGCCTTAGTTTTGCTAATATAAGTTCCTTATAATATGTCGAATAATATAATTAAAATTAACATTATAAATAGGTATAAACACAACTAATAATCAATTTCTACCCGAGAATAATTTTCCTGTTCCTATCAAATCCATATCATTTAACCGAGTACCATGTTGTTTATATGTTGCCGATTCCATATCAAACCAGTCAGTTACACCCATGGCATATTTATTGTTATCTCTTTCTATTGACTTGGCTATTTCTATAGTTTTCTCAGAAAGAACATTGCATCGATCTTGGATGGACTTGCTAGATTTAGCCATGTATTTCAAAAAATCAGAGGATCTAATTCCCTCTATTCTCCCACTGAACACAGACATACTACAAAGTTGTGAGGAAGAATCTGGTAAATATTTTGTTAAGCTGGCTCCCTCTCTTCCACTGAACACAGACATACTACTAAGTTGTGAGGAAGAATCTGATAAATATTTTCTAAAGCTGGCGCCGGATAAATTATAATAGTATTTATATGTGATAAGTTGAAATTTAAGTGTTGTTGCAGACCTATTCATTTCCCTAAAAGCTGGCCACATTTCGTTTCTGATATTCCAATTTTCAAAATGCGTTATTTGAGATAATATACTTAAATCTTCTTTGAAAGTTCCAAAAATTGAATGGAAAACCATTTGCTTCGCTACTTCAGCTTTCATATTACCATTTATTTTCCAATCAATTTTACATGCTTCTTTGTAAAACATAAATCCTCCATGCCCTGAAAAATTTACAAAATTGACCAGGTCTGTTGGTAAAGTTGGAAGTATTTCACCATTTTCTACTCTTGGATGCAAAAGGCAGCTAAATATATTTGGTGGAAAGAACATTCTTTTGGCTTTCCTTGTTGTTACTAAAAGTGAAAGGTCAGCCATGCAGGATATTAATTTCCAAACTTCTGTTGGGCGCTTTATCAAAACGGAAATAATAGCATCTATTTCTGGAAAATGAGCAAAATCCCTCTTAAAAGCTTTTTCCAACTCTTTAGAGTACTTTGCATCCGATCTCATATGACAAAGTAATCTGGTCATAGGTCCAATACTGTGAGCCATAGAACGCCTTTTTTCAGGTGGAAAAGTGGACATGATGACAACTTTTTAAACCATATTTTGAGACAGGAATGTATTTGTTTAATTCAGCTGTTTGACCTATTAGCATATTGCTTTGACCCATCCTCAGTTCTTTAAGTCTTAAGTCGAATCCTGCTAAAAAATCTAGGATAGGAGCGATTGTCCCATACCAATTGTCCTTGTCCCCTAGTTTAAAAGATTTGTATTCCAAACCAAAAAGACCTGCATTTCTCTTAACTTTGTCATTTATGATTTCTCGATATCATGGATTTGGGAGCCTATGCTTATATTACTCTTATCATATTCTTCTTTTAAGATAAGTAACCCAATAACTTGATGTATGGCAGCTATAAAATGAATGACTTTGATTTTCATCGCTTTATCCAAAGGTACATTAGCTTTTTTGTTTTCGGCCAGTTCCTCCATGTTATCAGGATCATAATCAAGATTTTTTCTTTCAACACTTTCTCCACTAGTTTGTGGTTTTAAATAATCATCAAGTTTATGTTTCTTAGCTTCTGGTTCAGACGAATTTTTTTCTCCAGGAATGGTAGACATTCTGTTCTATTTGATACTACGAATTATAAAAGTTAATAAATAAATTAAATTACACAAAATATTAACTATATAGAATTGTTTTAATGAAATTTTTAAAAATTAAAAAAAAAAATTTAAAATTATTACAAAAAAAAATATCATAACATAATTAAACATAATAATCGTCTGATTTTTTTAAAAAAAATTATCAATTTCTCATTGCATCATATAATAATTAAACATAAAAATCGTCTGATTACAAAAAATTATAACTATTCAAATTTAAATTATAAAAAAAAACTTTATTTTAAAATATCAAAAAAAACCAACAATAACTACTTTAAATATAAAAAACTATAAACAATGAACTCTCAGCACATTTCTTTCTCCAAAAGACGTCTTTTCGAAATAACGTTTTTTTAGAACACAATTATTAATTTGATCATTCTTAATTATATTATGGTATTTGTTAATCCCTCCTGTTGCCAAATTGATGGCAAAAAAAATATTCTAAGGGTTGGGAATTTGTCAGTAAAAGTATAAAGGCTCTAAGATACTCATTCTTAGATTCATTTTATCGTTTTGTTTACTTTGCGAAACCAAATTTAACATTTCTTGATTAATGAAATTTTATATTTGGAGTCTGGGTACTAAAATGGTTCCGGTTTCTACAATTTTTAAAATATGGTTCTATTTCCGGTTTATGAAGTTTTATCTAAAGGTTCAGGCTCAGGTTTCAAACCGTTAGCGAGCAATGAAAAAAGTTTCCAAGAATAAAAAAGAATTGAAAACAGATTTCTCCCGGGTTCAAGGATTCTGGTTTCAAACTCTTGATTTAGATAAATTTGATTTTTTAAAAAAATTAAAATCTTCTATCTAGTATTAAAAATTGAATTAATCGACTGTTGTTGTATTCCAGTGGAAAACCTATCTTAGATAGGGTTTCGTTAGATTCGAAAAATTTAGGTAATAACCCCCCCCCCCCTCCTATATTTTTTAAAAGCTATACAAACATAAAATTTTTAATTTTTATCTTAAAATATCATTTATGATTAGAATTATTTGAAATACCGAATTAATATATGATGATTCGTCCTTCGTTTAATTTTTCGTAATAAATAGGTTTATAATGTATTTATTGGCCAGACAATTTTAAGTATGGTAGACTATTTGCAATCCCGCAATTCAAATTAACCACCTTATATAATATAATATCTTAGATAAAATATCTACACGTAATATATATTTTTTTTTAAATTCCATTTGCTTTATCACCTTTAAACCGATATTTAAGTGGTCGCTAAAGGTGCTATGATTGTCACCGGTCTCGTGAATAACCCTTTCTCCCTCATGGCCCACCAACTGGGATCCGATATTGTTAGCTTCCATAAGATGGCTGAAAGATGCCAATTGCTCAAATCGTCTACCGATCATTCGGAGATGCTCTCAGAAAATTTGGAGAAAGAAGTGGAAAAGCATTTTAACTCCGTGTTAGAAGCGTTGTCGGAATGGAGGAAAGGGAAGGAAGGGATAGATCGCACGCAGGATATAAGTCTAATGGGTTTGTATGAATTTAAAGATTTTTATTCTGAATATTTTCTAACCTTCATATAAACAACCCACAATAAAAATTTTCCTTGCCTCATTTAAGGGTATAATCAGGCCACGGGAATTTGGAATCTCATAATTTAAACCATTTAATAAGGGTGATTTTTATGGGGAAAAAAAATATGATTAATAGGAAATGTATTTTTTTTAGCAAAAGAAAATCTTGATGGGTAATTTATTTAAAATTTATATATATTAAGTATAGTTCAAAAGTTTATAATAATATTGTCTGGAATTCATGGGGTAGGGCACTTTTCAACATGGCTGGAACATATTTTATTTCTTATAAATTCAGTTTTTTTGAAAATTTAACTCTTCCAAATCCCCCTCCGGAATCTCAAACGACATAAACACTATTGACAATTTTTATTTTATTTAAAATTGTTAGTATATTTTTTTTTGAAAAATTTTAAGCGATGACATATGATACTAACCTCTATCTGGACTGATGATTCATTTATTTAAAGGTGTACATTGGATTGAAGTCAGCTGTAAATAATGTCATAAGCTGAAATAGACCCAGTCGCCATTGTAACATTTCGTCTAAATGTCATTTCAATGGCGAACTTCACAATGTATATATCCACTTTTTAATGCATTTCAATGAATGAATCGTAAGTCTAGGTTTTTAGCAGAAAAAATATTGGTGACTGATTGGAAATATACTTACAAAAATTTAAGTCAAATAATTGATTCGTGTTTATATATAAATGGAATAATTCGTTCGAATAACAAATAATTTATTTTATATGTATGAGAGGTCTGTAATGGGAAAGTTTTTAACCCGAATACTTGCTAACCCATTTTTTAAAAAAAAGCCCGACTATTTTCAAAATTTTTTACCCGCCCTGCCCATTATAGGATAGTTCTGCTCGTTGTCCTGAATAATACCTCAAATTCATCCACCCATCCATTAATTTGAAAATATTTTTAATCCATCCACTAAACCATACAATGTTTAACATTTTTAGAGCCCCGGTTTATAGTGACAAGCGGGCTGGAGATTCGCCTGTTGATGAATAGCTAGCTGGCATTTTCATCTAGATTTTACCTTTGTTCAATATTTTTTTAAAACAACATTGTTAAAAAATAATTATTCCTTTTTAAAATAATTTTTTTAAAAAAAAGACAAACTCCTCCAAATTCATTCCAGCATTCTTTCTAACTCTTCTTCGCGTTCCCCTTCCACGAAAAGCACCAATCACTACGACCCAATACGCCAATCAATATTCGATTTTCACTTAAGGTTATATTAATATATAGAAAACACCTGAGATGTCATTTGACGTTTATTTTATTGGGAGGGGTGGGATGCGGGGTTTTAAAATTAGGTTTTTCAAAAATGATAAATACATTCTACATTTATTTTTGTTCTATTTAATAATTGCAACTCTGAACTCAGCTAAAAGTTTTAAATATTAGAAAGATGCCCAAACAGTTCTAATCACCCTCTTCTCTTCCTCATTTCTAATGCCACTGATATATAATAAAATGCATTTTATTGCTTAATAAAAGTTATTTAAATTAATGTAAGATAATAATATCGATTTTTGAACCTTAAAAATCTAGTAGTAGCCTTTGCCTTACAGACTTATTGAAATTATATATAAAGAGACACATTTTTTGAAATCACTCATAAAAACAAATAAACAGTATAAAAAAATGATTTATTTTAAATTGAATGGTATAAAGCCTTATCATATATTAAAAATTCAATAATACATTCTTAACGCAAAATCCGTATTAAGATTATTTATAAGTTTTTTTAGTTCCAAAACTATTTAAAGTGATTATAACGAAAGGTATAATAATGTGGTTTTAAAAAAAATATTTCTTGATTTTTTGAATCTCTGTTTGGATAATGAATTTCGGATGGGTTGCTGGCCACATAAACGTTAATACTTGTTAAATCTCAGGCTAATTCTCTGTCATTGAATGGGTATAATTTTTCCATCTGCTGAATTCCCTAAGTATTTCTAGCATGTGAACCCGCTTTGCTGATAATCTTACCTAATAGTTGTCATATTCTAAACTTTTACATAATATCTAAGTTCAAGATTAGTTTTATATTATATAAAAATTAATATTTTAGTTTTAATATATAAGAAATACTTTTATAACCTTTCAATATATTATGCAATTATTACCCTATTATATATGGTGAATTCCATTACAAACCAACATATTCAATCCGACTCCTAAGCTTTTTTAAATTTTTTTTACAAGTTTATAACTATAAAGAAAAGAAAATTTTAGCCTCCAACTATAAACAGCGACTGAGATACGGGCCTCTAGGGGTCAAAAAAATATGGAATTTTGGGCCAAATGCACTCTATGTTAAATTCACAATATAGCTATAAAAATAATGTATTAATTTTTGCATGTCTGATCCTTCTCCCTTTGCTGAATTTGCGATGGGCAGGATAATAGGCATTATACTTGGCTGTGGCTTAACATAAATTACAACGAAGGAGAAAACATTCGGACACTAAACGTAAACCTACAGATAGTCTGAATACCGCTGCGCTCAGATGAAGTTTCATATTCGTAATACAGATAACTTCAAGCTACTGAGCCATTTTTCAATCCGGTAAATACTAAATAGAACTCTTCGCTTCAGGTTGCAAGTTTATATTGAGAAGCAATGGAACGAGGAATTAAAGAAAGGTTTCAATATCCGAAACGCAACAAGTAATACATTATTAAGTAAGATTATCAAGTGGGTGTTTCATCTACACTAGAACCATGGAACTTAACTAATCAGATTTTAAAAAAACCAGTGGCATTGCACTTATTTATGCCATTCAAGGAAATCAGAGAATTAGCCTGTAATATCGGCTTTCTTCTACCGATTTTCTTCCAGATTCCATTATCCAAACGGAGATTTCATAAAAAAAACTAATTTCTTTTATTACCTTTCGTCACAACCATTTTAGGCGATTTTGGATTTGAATCAATAAATTTTTTAAAGATAAGGGTTGTAACATCTCATCGAAAACAGAATACCCCAACAAACGCCTTCATCATACACAACAAATATCCATAGCTACATTTAAATTCCAAAAATACTTCCTAAAAACGCAATTTTATTAACCTTTAAATATATGTTGTATTATTTATTTTTTTAAACTATAAGTAACTTGGAATATGCTTGTGGCTCAAACTTGCGGGGAGTATCGGGTCTTCAGTGGGATCAAAACGAGGCCTTCAGCCAATTGGAAGGCAGTAACGCTCTCATTTCACCCGGGTTTTTTTTAAAAAAGATATTACATCCTTAATATTCTTAATTTGTTCTTCTTCCTTCATCATTCTTCTTTTTTCTTTATTATTTTTTCGGTTTATTTCCTTTTTTCCTTATAACGCAATTGGATAAAAAATCCTGATATTTCTCTTCCTAGATTATTTAGCCATTTTATCTATTCCTCTTTTTGAATGTTGGATCAATGGAGGACAAGCATTCTAACCAATTAAATATATACAAGTTTTTTCGGACATGTGATCCATTTGTTTTTTGCTTTATTTCTCCTTTCTTTCTCTAATCGAATAATAAAATATTTCCGATTTTAACAATTTATATTATATTTTCGCGAAATATCCTAGGTACTCAACTATCGTCGATAAAATGGCCGAAGGAATCGATGTGTTGACGAATCACGTGGTTAGTACGACATTTTCTTTAAAGAATTTTTTTTAGGAATTGCACTCGTTTCTTCTTCTTTTTTTTGAGTTTTCGAGAAGTTTAAAAATTAAGTAATTTAAAAAATATGGAGAAATATAATGAGAGAAAATACAAGATTCCTTTCAATGTAGATATAAAATAGTTCTATTATATATTGGCAAACATACGGCTATTATAATTAATTAGCCAGGTGCCAACCGATTCGACTCATGGATTTAATAGAATCTATCTTGACTTGATCCAAATAAGCAATCATTCGAGGATTCGGGCTTGATATTTACAAGTAAATCCTCCAAATCTCGGCCTCTCGAAAACACTGTTACAGGCTTTATAATTTTGATTTTCTTATCTTGTATATATATATATAAAAGGTTAACAAAATAGATTATTCGAACAAATCTAAAATCGTGGTTCAGACACTCGCAGGTGAACGCTTCGAAGCCAATAAAGTATTATCCTTTTTTTTAATCTTTACTAAAATAAAAATTTTAAAAATGGCAAAATTAAACTGGAATATGCAAGATTGATGAAGAAATACATTTTTTCTATAAAATAAGGATCATTTTTATTGTCAGCTGTTCTTTGTAAACTATGGGTTTGATAAATCTTTTATGATCTCGCGAAATATTATAGCATGACAGATTTCTACATTATTTATTACTATTGATTTACCAGCCAGTCACTAAAGTTTTCTTCGGGTAATCGTTTTAATGTTTTAATAAATGACGTTCCATCGAACGATATTTTATCGACAATTTTTTTTGTTAAAGTTTAGTTTTAGCTGAGATAATCTAAAGATTTTTGTGCCCTAATTTTTTTTTAAATAAAGAAATTAAAATATAATCATTTACTGCCAGCTAAAATGTCTTGTTGGGATTCTGGATTAAGGCTTCCAGTTCGGAATGTTTCAAAATAATAAGTTTTGGTTCCCAAAAACACATATTTCATTTCCTGAATTTAGGACTTGATTCATAAAAATCTTAATATTACTTCTGGATTTGTCCCGATCACGAAGGCTTCCAAATTTCGAAATCAACCAACATAGTTTTTAATGGAAATTGGCAAAAAATATTATTTACTATTCAACATTTATTTTTTGGTTCTTTAATTAATACTGAAAAAGCGAGGATTTGATAAAAAATTATATTATATTTTACAAAAACTGTAAAACTAACTGACTTAAATTTTCAATTTAAAACACATAATTTGAATAATATAAAATAATAAAATTGTCAAGTTAATGAAATGAAAGTGAGGTTACTATAATTTTGAGTAAGTTATAATGAATGCATATCAACAAACGAATATTATATATTATTAAAAAAAATCATAGTATAGGATTTAGGCAATAGATCAAAACACTAAATATAACATAGCTGATAGTTTCAAAATACTTCAATGTCATATTTTTTTGTAAACAAAACAATAATTATTTTCTAGGTGCTCGTGGCGGTTCCGCTTTCCGTCCTGAAAGAAGAAAGCTTAGGTTTCGAGCCTCGTCTCGATGAGGTCAAGCGGAATGCTTTGGATCAATTAGGAAACGGAGTCATAGAAAAGGTTATTCTCGGAATAGTCATTTGTCAATTAGAATTATAACTAATGCGTTAACGATATTTTATATTTTATACACCAGAGCTGTACCGATATTATCGGATCGGCTCCGATATCGGACTTTTTAAAAAAATTTAGATCGATCGATTCTCTTCCTTATTGGAGGGTTTATAGGTTGGTTTCTTACCTTCTCTCGACAACGGCTGGAGGTTGATTAGATTACCCTCATAAGAGAAACTTATTGCCACATAAACTTGAGGCTCTTATCTTTACAAAGAAAAATGTTCAATATCATAATTTTAATTATTTTATTTTTCATTATTATTTTATTTAGGATTGTTAAAAAGCCACGTTTAGGTCGATTTTTAAAAGCGGCCCAATAAAGATTTTAGTCAAAATATTATGTAAGCCTAGAGATTTGGCAAATAGGGGTCTATACCTTTCTACGATTTTGGATAAAATCTTAATAGTGCCGTTTTTTAAAATAGACCTAAATCGGGCTTTTTAAACAACACTAATATTGATATTAATGATTTGTTTTTTTACTTTTATTTCAAATAAAGATAAATAGTTTCTTTGTGCTAGCATATATATTTATTCTCATTTGTATTAAGGCTAAAATAGTTAAGTGTAAATTCTGATCATCATTTAGATAATATGGAACTATACTATAAATAATATAAGACATTATTTATTATATATCTTATAAATAAAAAACCTTTCTACAAATTTAAAACATATTTTTAGAATTTTAAAGCTTTGAGATTTTTTTTGATTTTCGAGAGCTGGGATAAGTGAATTTTCTGATGAAAACGCCTTTAAAAAATAAATTTACACCGATTTTTATGAAAGAATTGGGAATCGATGCAGCCCTAATATTTCTAAGTCTAAATTGATTTATCCAACTATATTAAATTAGCACGAAATTAAAAATCTCAATTAAGATGGTTATTTCTCGTCAAATTTCGCTTATGATCTTTATTATTTTCTCTCGCCATTTTTTTTATTTACTACTGGCTATTATCTTTTACCTCATTTTTCTCCATTAAATAGAATATTTATCGTTTATTATCTGACTGACATCTCCACATTCTTTACTTCCGGTATAGAATTTGTCCAAAGGATCTCCATTAGATCTTTTGCTTTTCTTCTTCTCTCACTATGTATTAGAGGCCTGCAATAAATCCGGTTTTACCCAGTCCACTGTTTTTGAAAAGTTTTACCTTATTTCCCCTGAGGCCCGGATAATATATATCCCCCAAATACGTTCTCTACTAGCTTTTAGATATTTTTCCCAAATAGGATTTAAGATTTCTTCCATTATATTCTTTTTCCAATTTAATGATAACTAACACGTCCCTAGATACTGTAACTTCATGACATTGTTATCTACTGAAACTGTATGCTCATATCAATCACTATGTCCCTTCTCTCTATCCCTCATAGCTCTGACTAAACGCCCTTTTAATATTATCGGGCTAACCACCTTAACTTCTTCCAATTTTTTGCTCAATCCCTCAGCTTTTTTTAGGTTCAGCTCCTCCTCCAGGTCTTATCTGCATTCTCGAAAATTTATTCTTCCTATCTGTTTGGATGCAAACTTACTGTGAATATACCACAGGCCTCCTGATGTATTTGTCCAAGGAGGAAAACAAAGATTTAATATGTTCATCCAAATTGGGGAAATAGATCATACTGATCGTTAGTTTCAATTTGGAAATTTAATGTATAAGGAAGGATAACAGTTTTCTTGTGGGGGAATAGGATGGATATAGAGGGAGAATGAAGGGGGTGATACCTGGAAATTGTAGCCTAGATATTCCCAAAGTAAAAATGAGAAGATATCTTAAGTGAAAATATTTTTAAAAAAACAGGGAGCGATTGGTTGGACATTATAATGGAACCGGAAAGTTGGGGAAGATTAGAGTCCTGAAAGGGTCGGGCCGGTCAGGATAGGCTTTTAGCCCATAATGTTTTATTTCTTATTCTTTCCTTATTTGTCTGATTAAATATCACAATTATGAAAAAAATTTAAAGAAAATTATAAGATGAGAAATAATTACTATATATTTTCTCGTAATATTTTGTAATAAAATAGATAAACATCATTAAATTATAAGAAGTTATTGTTGAATATTTAAATTTAATGCATAACTTTAAAATAGAGAATTAAAGTAATATTTTGAATTTAAAATTTCTTTCTTATATTTTAATACGTGCCGGTCCTAGGTTGGATAGAATTGCCAAAGGACCGTGGGCCACCTTGGTCCAAAAAATATCGATTTGGCAAGTACCTAGAGGGGATAACGAATAAATGAGTTCACTGTAGGGGGAATGATGTGGGTAAAAATTTCTGGAGAGCGGTGAAATGGATGAAAAGGAGTGATTCTATAAGCGCGGGGAAGTAAGAAACTAAGGGGGACCTTAGAGATTATTTATTTTTAGTTATATTTTTTTCGTCATTTTATTTGAATTAACTTTATTTTTCAATTGTGATTTCAAATTCATGCTAATTTATTCTCTTTAAATCTAACGACAATTGAAATAAAATAGTTAATTAACCAAATTATTAATAAGTAAACTTAAACAAAATGATTAATCATTATAATACAAATCAGAAAAATTAAAATAAAATTTACAAAATAATTATATTATTATCCCCCGTATTTTTTGGAAATATTCATCAGAAAGAATGAATAATTTTTGTTGAGTTGCACTGCAGCCCGACCCCGATATTTTTTAAAAATTATTTTTAGTCCTTGCTCAGGCATTTAAAAAAATTTTTTTAGGCCCGGCTCTGTTATATTTTTTTTAAAACAGAGCCACTGCTCTTGTACTCGGACTTAGGGCCGCGCCTGCAGTTCTCTGATCTTTATAAACAATATATTTTGAATAATAGACTTTAATAACGTTCTATTTAATAAAAATAGATCGTCATAAATTTTCCTACCAAATTTTGGGCCAATAGAATAAAGGAACAACCCTGCTTCTTTGGTCGTGTCCGAAAATCCGACGAAAGTGATGCCGACGAAAGTAAGGATAGGGGTTTATTTTACGTTTTTTACGACATGTCCTCATCACCAGCTCCTAATTCCCGCTCATCTTTAAGTCGAACCCAAAGCGTAGATTCAAGTCGCGGTAATCGAGTGAAGAAGGATGTTAAAAATGTCGAAATAAATGAGAATGCCATGGAGGTAGACGAAACGATGGATATCGATGATAAAAAGGAGACGGTGGCAAAAAAAGACTCTTCAACAATCGCCAATCTTAATCAAACGGGTATGGCCAATGAACATAGTCTGACCGATATTGATAGTTCTTTCCCTGAGAATTATATTATTCTACAACCACTTTTTTGTCAAAAATTATTTTTTTTACATAGATTATTTTTAGTTATACTATTCTATTTACGCAAAAAAAATCGAAATATATATAAAATAAGTTAAATTATAGCCAATATAAAGTTATATATATCCTACTGAAAACAGTGGAAACTTAATTTTTAAAATTGCTCTTCTATAGAATTACAAAAAGTGAAGATGGGATGATCTAATTCTCAGGCGAAGAGTTATATAATCGCTTCTTAGATTTATATTTTTCATTGACTGACTTAAACCTATTTTTAACAAACGTTTTTGCATTTTATTCCAAAGAAGAAAAATGATAAATTAATTTTCAAAACTCTTCAGAGATAAATATTCGGTTTTGGACAGATGTACCAATACCAATAATGCTGGTATCCAGTATCGGCCGATACTTTGAATAGCTACTAGTCGATACCAATATATATTTTTTTAAAAAAATCGTTTATTTAAATTTTTTTTAAAATATATGTATAAATTTTCATTATTTAATTCTTTTGCTTTCTCAGATATCACAATAGATATCCTTATAATTTAGATTTATTTGTCTTGCTGCTGACATTTAATATTAACCATAACTGTTGATTTACTATACATATGTTGAAATCAGCTGATTTATTAGCTCTAGTAGGAGACACCGATTGATAGGCGTTTCGGCTAAATGTCTTTCAATTGGCGGAATTCAATTCATGCGTACTTTTTAATGTGCTTTAATGAATGACGCCAGTTGGCATCAATGTCATTGTCTGGCTGGTTCCAAGTGCTTACAAATATTTTAGTACACGTGTAAATCTTCTTTCTGATAATGTTGCCAAAATATTTTTAAAAATTTTTATACCTATTTCATTTATTTGACATAAATATATGTATAATATCGGTAACTCAAATTTCTTTTAGAAAATGAAGATCATTTATTGGTTTCTTTCGTCAGTGGTTCTGCCGTTGATGTTATAAACGATCCTGATATAAGTGAAGCATCCATACTTAAGATGTGTTTGCGAGAACTCAAGCTTATGTTTCCAGATGAAGTATTTTGCATTATTATAATATCTTTATTTACTTCTTTTTCTTAAAAAAAGAATAAATAAGAAAATATTTCTTTTTTTGAGTATCAGGGATTTCATTTTGTTGAATTTTGATTCAAAATTACATTTGAGATTATATATTTTATTATAGATAATTCCCGAACCAAAATCCTATTTCATAACTCATTGGCAAAAAGAGCCCCACATTAAAATGGCTTATAGCTACATTAAAGTGGGTGGTACGGGAAAGGCCTATGATACATTAGCAGAAGATATCGATGATCGAATATTTTTTGCTGGAGAAGTAATTCCAATTTTTTTGTCGTCGTTTATAGCTGCATTTTTAGTAAGCATTATTCCCTGTGAAATTATTCGCTAGCGAAAATGGCGGATTCATCACAGCGATGATACTTTTTGAAATATACTTGAACAGTTGTCGCGATTTCATGATTTTGCTAGTAGTATTTATTAGGACTCTACTTGTAACCCTCTAATTAATAAGCTACATTTTTTTTATGATTTAGATTAGAAAACATCGTATATTTTAAGGTGGTTGTATTTATTTATATTATTAAAAGTAACTCATCACTGAATCGAAGACTTAAACACTTAGATAGGTTTAACTCATCACTGAATCTAAGACTTAAAAAATAAGATAGGTTATCTATTATTCAAAATGTATATAATCGATTTCTCCACAAATCTGAATGTTTCTAAATAGAATTATTCCACTTTTGACATCATTTTAAAACTATTATTTTAATTTCATTTGTTATTTACCATTTGGCATACAGTGTACAAATAGACATTTTCCTCTTACAGTCACCGGAGCTTATCTTAGCGGAATATTACAGGCTAGTAGGATGGCATCACCTCCAGATATCATCTAATTTATAATTGAATTTCCCTATAATTACATTACCTTTTTTATAACCATTTTTCATGTTTCAATGTTGTTGATATATGTAATATTGTCAATTTTATTTGGAAAAAAAAACAATATTTTTTAATATATATTTAATATAGTATTAGTAAATAGTGTATAATCGCGAATAATAATTTCTCTTTTTAAAAATCTTGACCATTTTATTTATCGTAATAAATTATGAAGTATAATTTTTTATCATTTTGAAATTTTTTTTTATATCTTAATATGTTGGCACTGTGCAACTTTATATTATTCAAATACAAAAAAGGGCATGTTTAATAAAAATTCGAATAAATTGGAAATCATCCAAATTCGCCACCATTTTCTGGGTGGAAAAAATTCCCCGATATTTATCTCCCTACTCTCTAAAAAAAATTTTGTATCCTATCTCGTTGAACGACAACTCTCCTATAAAATATCTTGGGGTCAATACCGAATCTCCTCCAAAAAAAAAGAAATTTTACACTGCAATATTAATTTTAGATGCAAAAACTTTTATTCGATACTTTAAATTATAATTACCTATTAGACAAGATTGTGAAAATTAGTGATGTACCATTAAAGACATGTGTAATTAACGTTCATAAATAGTTATGCTCGGGAAAAATTAAATTATAAAAAAAAATCGTGAATTTTTCAGAAATAAATTTATACTAAAATATAGATTAAAAATTAAAATAAATTGGGAAAGTTTTAAATGATATAAATTTAATAAAATGTGGTTTAAGATTTATTTAAAAGGATAAATATGTGTAATTAAGGTGTAAGCAATAAAGTCAAAAGAAAAGTTAATATGGGATGTTGTTTCGGATTAAAAGATTTTAAAAAAAAGATAAATGGACTAGTATTAAATTATTTTAGAAAAACTTATGCAAATAAAAGAAGATAAAATCGGGGTTAAAATACTATAAAATAGACATTTTGAATAGAAAATTAAATGTTTTAAAAATAATAAAAGCAAGGTGTTTTATTTGTTCTAAATTAAATTGTTACAAAACATTTTAAAACTCGTAAATAGATAGATTACCATTAATAATTAATTAAGAATATCATTTTATATTTCAATAATATTAAAACAGTAAAAATAATTTTATACTCCAGAAGGCGTAAATATAGTTTATAAATATTTTATTATTAAAAAAAATAAAAATTAATTGACTAAAGGCCTAATAATTGTATACATTTGATATTAAAAAAAGGTGTAAGCATAAATTAAAAAAGTGTAAAGGAGAAAAAAACTGTTGTAAAGGTATAGGTATTAATACGTGGTGAGTAAATAATCACATATCGAATGATATAAATAACCTCATACAGCGTCTACCGCCAATTTATACAAGAACACTTAAGAAATGATGCAAGATCACATGTTCAACATTGTTCGGAGTACTTTGAGCTATAGGTTAAATATTCTATTAAATATTTGGAAAATTGAAAGTAGCAATGTCAGAAAATTTATTGGAGGCAAACCTTCTAAAAAAGTGATATTTCCACATATTAATTATAAGTTTTTAATTATAATTATAATCCTTTCTTATATTTACAAATAGTATATTAAATTATCAACATTCTACTATAAACTTTCAAAAAAATTAAAAAAATTTAATATGAATTAAATTAACCGCATAGTTTTATTCTCTAATTAATCGTACACACACCCCACCATCAGAGTTGTACAAAAGATCTTCTTTGAAGATTTTTGAGCGAGATCTAGCTCAAAAATTTGAGCAAAATCTTTGAAGATCGTAAAATTTGAAGATCCTTTATTTTTTAAAAATTTTGTGTAACGATCTTCAAAGATCTTCATGATATTTATTTTTTTACCCCTTTATTAAAAGCCCAGATGTTTTTCAATTTTCATCAAGGCAGGAGGAGAGGTATAAAACATAAAAGAAATATTATATTTAGTACAAACAATTTTAATATTAAGTAAATCCTATGCGTTTCAAAAAATTGCATATTTCAGTTTCTAAACCAACAACAAAATCTATGGGAATATATCTCTAAGATTATTCGGATGAAATAAATGTATTAAATTTAATATTATATGTTACAAAACATTTGTTTAGTTAAATATTATCCATAATAATGAATTAAATTTAAATTATAATGACTTTGATTTCCTTTTCAGGCAGTTAAGATTTTTTTGTCATATTAAACTTAGTAGCAACACACTAAACCAGCAAGATCCTTTTAGATAAGGATCATTATAAGTTATAACATTACGATATCAACATGCCAACTTTTGTTGAATTTATTAAATAAATCTGGGTCATTATCTAAACTAATTTGTAAAAAGATTTAATTATTATTAGGTATAATTTTGACCAAGTACTCGCGTAGAAAATTTATTCAGCCTAGGGATGCATATTTTGTAAGAGAAGCTAGCGCGTCTTTTAGACAGAAATTTTAAAAATAGTTGATTGTTAAAGTCAAATATAAATTTACTAAGTCCGAAATTTTATAAAAATAATCAGTGCAAATATATATTATTTTCTGATATTTTATTTTGGTGTAAGTGTATTCTGTTCTCCGGTATAGTTTCTTAAAACATCTTTGATTAAAATTTGTAAATCGTAAATATGATAAATTTTATTATATTAAATACAAAAAAAATGATTTTGTTATAATTTATTTATAATGTAATTGATTACTTTGGAAATATAACTATAACTAGTATCTAATTACATCTAAAAAAATGTAATATAGATTAACATTTTGTAGTTTTTAGCTGCAATTTTTATATAATATATATTTTCATAGTTTATTATAATTATTTTTTTGTATAATATTTACTTTATATAATTTCACTTAACAACTGCTTAGCTCATCAAATAGGATGAATATATAGATAAATTGATCTTTTATATGTAGTATTGTTAAAAAGCTTGATTTGCGTCCATTTATAAAAATGTAGATTATGATTTTTTATATAGCCAAGATAATATTACGTAAGTCTCGAGATTTGGGAAAGCTAAAAAAAATTGTTATCATTTAAAATGACTATTTATTTCTTTTGTGTCTGGACATCATCTTGCCATATCATAGTTATGCTACTGTTAACGTAAGGAAGCAAAGATAAATCTCGGCCCCCCTGAGAAATGTGCATGTTCTTGTGATGTGAATATCATTTTAGTTAATAGAAGATTCCCCTCCCTCATCTTCCATCCCCCAAATACAATATACTACTATAAATAATCCTTTGAGAGAAAAATAGATAAAGTTAATAATTTTATAAAATAATTACTATAATTGCAAACTTTCGGAAAAATCATTTTTATAAATAAAAAAAGTGAAAAAATGCAAAATAAATATTTACGTGATACGTGAGCGTTTTCGCCCTCTGGTTGTGGGTACAACAGAGCTACGCTAGGTTATCCTCAAAATCCATCAAACTGGATAGTTAATTAGGGGAAGAAAAATGAGGAGCCCTTCACACGTTTGTGGGCAAGGCGCACGTACTTGTAGGCGTAACATTTCGAAAAAAGTTGCTTAAACCTATATAGGCTTAGTAAAAAGGAATGGGGTAAAAAAAGAGCCTATACCCTAGAACTACAGTATAATTTAATTACTATAAAGGTGGGTGATGGCTGTTAAGTTCTTTAATGTAAGTTTTGATGATTACTATCACTATTGAGATTTCAAAATAAATATTTTAACTCTTAAAGTCCTGCGTGCTAGTTTGACCTCATCAACTTGCGTGTCATTTTATAAGCACTAAGAAGGCTAAATGATTTAATTTTACATTACAAAATAATTATATTATAATTTCACTCATATTTTATTAATTTTCAGTCTAACATAGGCATTTGCTTGTATTTCGTTTTAACTTTTCCTCATTTTTATGTTCCGATTATGGCAAATTATAAACATATTTCTTTTAGTTTTTATATCTTCTATTAATAGCGGATTACACATGGAATCATAATATTTACTATAATGCTAACTTTTTAGACCTCATTTATAGTAAATGCGTTATGTTCAAGCTTTGCTTTAACGCAGAGTTATTAAGGCCAATATAAATTATATAAAGCAATGAAAATTTGATAAACATATGGTTGTGATACCTTTAGAAAAAATATGTGATACGATTTTAAAAAATGATATCGATAAAAAGGTAAATGATAATTCTTAAATATTACATAAAATAATTAATATTTGGTTTTATCTTAAATAATCAAAACGGAATGAACTATAATAGTTCTAACACTTGAAGATAACGTGTTCAATATAGCGTTAAGAATATAATTTTTATATTTAGGTGCCCAGCCACATAGAATCATATTTTTTTGTATAAATATATTCAAAATAAATATAGAATTATTTTGAAAAAATTTTCTGACTTATTAAAATAAAGTTCAACTTGAAAGTGTTAAATATTCAATATAGTTAAAAGCTTGTGATAACCTTAAAAAGCTTAAATAAAATTTTTAGGGATAAACCAACCATTACTACCCCCTCCGCCTACCCCAAGAAAAATCCTAACGACATCATTATACCTATGCGTTGCGACAATACCCCCCTCACACCCCCCTCATACCCACCAGGCCTCTGTCCTCTATAGTGCCAACTGAAAATCTTTAGATAGGACTATATTCTCTTTTAATATATAAATGAAAGGTATAAAAAGAGTAACTAATCATAACCAAAATTGATAGGCATATTAAATAATTTCTATCATATGGTGAATGAATATCAAATTAAAAGTGTTGTGAAATGTTAGCCCAGTGATGTGAAATGATGGCTTTGACTCCATCAACGCATACTTCTGCTCACGTTATTCCTATAAATAGCCCTATATGCAGTATATGTCAAATTAATGAATCAGCTATCTGGAGAAAAATAAAAAATTATGGAATTATTTGTAATTCTTGTTATATCCTACAATATCTTGATAAACTGTCAAATAATCTAGCTCAGGATATAGCAAAAACATCATCTGGTATTTGCATTTTAAATAAATATATATAAATAAAAAAGATAGATAGCACAAATGTTAGAAAAAGTCAAAGAGTTAAAAATATGCAACAGAGAGTTTTATACCCTAATGCATTAAATAAAGGAAAGGGTCGAAGATCAATATTTTTCAAGCAAAACTCAGTATTATACATAATTTATTCTTATATAATATTTTTTAAATAGACAATTAAAACCTCTTCAGTTTTAAATAATATTAAGACCTCAAATTTTTTATACAACCAAGTATTAATAATTTTGAAAGACTTTATTAATATTTAAATTAGGGAATATTCTATCAAATTGGAGATATTGTTGCTTTGCTAGGAATGACTAATAAAACTTATTATGCTCAAATAAAGGGCTTTATGACAGATGCATACATGAACAAAAGTGCTTTGATACATTGGCTAATTCCGATTGAAGAATTGACATATAATGAGAAATTTGATCCATATAAATTTAAATTAGGTAGAGCTTTATATTTAGAACTAATAACTTAATGTAAACGTATTCATAATTTATATCAATATAAAAGATGATTGATAAAACTAACAAAAGAGTTCACATCAAAATTGTCTGAATTCACTATGTAGATACTCTATACACAATGGTATAGTCCTAAAATTTGCATTGGGGAAATGCTATTTAAAAAATAGAGCCCATATTTTTAACTACAATATTTTAATATTTATAATAATATTAATTGCTTCTTTCTTGATTTATTATTGTGTGCAGACTATGACTTGTCAGCCACTTTTTAATATATGGAGAAAAATTCCACTGCCTGAGAAGGGGTTCATTATTATATATCAATATATAATTTATTATAAAACTGGTAATCAAATCCGTTATAATGATCCATATGGTGAAAGCAGTGCTCAATACTATATGGAATTGTGTTAATTCAATTTTGAAATTCTTTCAAATCATGGGAGGCATTTATTACTTTTATTATTGTCATCAATATACTATTTATTGCAGATCCACAAGGATCAGTCAGAAATAAATTTGTTTATTTGATAAAAGTGGAATATCTAAATTCTTAGATGACAAAATATTAAATAAACATTCATTTTAAAATTATAAAAGAGATTTAGAACCTACCAGGCATAGTTTTTTGAATATGAATATTTTTGCTTTATTGATTTTTCAATGTTAAGTAAACTTTTTGCCTGTTAAAAACAGATTGGATAATTTAAATAGAATATCATCCATCAAAGCAAGATCTGATAATTATTGCTTTCTAACCTGGTGGACAGGCTGTTAAATTTTACACTGGTGCTAGAAATGGCTGAATTTTTGAAATGTATATACAAGATCTTACTCATAGTTTCCAATCTACCTTAACATTCGAAGACTTCTAGATGCCCATCATACATAAAGTTCCCTTCCAATCTTCAGCAACATGCCTAATTCAGATGCTATTTGATCCAACACCTTTTGATTTTTGCTAGACTGAATATATAAACTGTATAATGTGTCAATAAAAGACTTTAAAATGATTAACTGTAACATTACATTTGCCACAACCAATTCTAAAAGGTGATTTAAATGATGATAGAGTATGATCGTTGGATGCAGGTGCAAAGGCGCTTGCTACACAAGAGTTCTTTTCAGTCATGACATTGGCACAATTACTAACAGAGATCCATTTTTGTTAACACAGTGGATTTAAGATCCAAATGAACTATTTTCTCGACATCTTTTGATTCTAGTTCAATTAGGTCTAGAATTAAAAATAGGTTCTTCATCATAAGAGAACACCAATGCCTATTATACATAAATAATTGAGCTCGATTTATCTGACAACTTAGCAGATTTTTAATATCTTTCCAAATTGTAATATTATTTATAGTTATTATTTGTGTTTCCTTGGAATAAATTGTTAACTAGACAGAATATTTAGAATGTAAAATATGTCCCATATCTTAAATGTTGTGTTTTTGTAAATCTATCAGTGATTCAATCCATAAATGGATTGTTTGATTTGGCAAGATAGTATTCTTTATTAAATATTAACTTGGTTTTTTTATTAATGTTTTAAAACCATTTTTTATGCATACTCAATTTATTATAAAAATTTGTAATATTTTCATTTTTATTTAAACACATATGTGGCTAGTTAAAACTGATATAATGATATTCCCCTATTTCTATTGGATATTCCTTTTTAATAACATATTAAGATAGGGAAGGGTTCATTTTTAAAATTAAAAATGTGATTACATATACTACCATTTTTGTTTATAAAATATTTTATAATCATTATTTCAAAAATAATTAGAAAAATCTCCTCCCAGCCCTTACTTTTTGAACAATTCTGGCAGGGGCACTCTAAATTTTTTGAAATTTAAAAATCGGTCTAGGTGAATGATTTTAAAATGAGAGATTCCAAATCCCCATGAATTTCATATCCCAACACTTACATTTGAGATTACACTATAACTCAAAAGCCTCAGACTGTACCTGACTAAAAAAAACAAGGCTAGGCCTGATAATATGTGAGAAAATCTATCTTGGCAAGTCCTAAAAGAAAAAAATTGATAAGCCAGGCAAAAAAATATGTGGGCTGGATTATTGATAAATTCTGTTATTTGATAGAAGTGATAATCCATAAAGTGTAGTGTTTTTGTTTTAAACACTCCCCAATAATTGTTTATTTTGGTATTCAACTACATAAATTTTGGGCTATGCCTTGTATTTCAAAAGGCCAGGCCTGGCAAACAAAATTACAACTGGGCCAGGTCTGGAAATTTTGTAGCTCTATTACATATGTGGCATTCATACCCTGCCAATATAAATACAATGTATTCTCTAGCAGAGATTAAAAATATCAACAAATATAAAAACTTTAGTGATTTTATATTCTTGCCTTTGCTTTACCAATGGACTTTTCATGCACATCACCTTCAGTTTTCTAGCTCATAGAATAAAATTGCAAAAACTTGAACCTAAGGAATTCTTGTTCCTTGGGCAGAATATACAATTAAATATTTTTAAATTTAAGTATAGTTCCTTTTTAAAAACTCAATTATATTTTCAAATTATTTAAGTTCGTATTAAATATAATTTCATGCGATGTTATTTAGTTTTATACAACATGCTATATTTCTTATAAATATTAGAAACAAATATAAATAGAATAAAATAGATTACCACTATTTAAATTATCAAAGCTATGGCTGAATATTTAAATTAATACTTGATATTATAATAGAAAATAAAATAAATGTTAAGAGATTAAGTTCTTTATAAAATTTTTTTTAAAAAAAATTGGGTGATTTGTTTGTCACCAGGCTGTAAACGGGCTTGGGATATTTTTATCTTATTTTGCAGGACTCTAGCTCAAAGCCCACCTCTAAAACTGATGCTCATTATTATAATCATTAAATAGTTATTCTTAAATAGATTTATTTAAATAAATCTATTTGATTTTTATAAAATATACTTTCCCTAAAAATCAGAATCTGGTGCACCCTGGGCCAAATCCATAATTATAGAGTCAATATTAGTACTATTTACATTGTTTTCCATATTATTAAAATTATATATTTTAACCAGGGATGTAAACTTGGCAAAATTTTTGCCAGGATTGAGTTTAAGGATAAAAAAATAGGTGGGTTCTGTTCAGGGAAATATTTTTGATTGTGGGTTTGGTTCTGGGTTCAGCACGAATTTAACAATTTTTGAATTGATAAAAAAAATTCTATATTTAAATCATAATTGAAAAACTACACATAGATTTGGTATAAAAAATAAATTTTTTATTTTATTTATAGGCAAAATATAATTAAAAATACAAAGCATATTCATGTATCAATTTTAAAAATTTTATTTAGACGTATTTCTTTAAATTAACAATATCCAATATAAAAATTTTTACTTAGACTAGTTCTCTTTCATTTTCCTCTAATTAATAATCTTTGAGAATAGTTAAAAATTAAAAATAAATGGATTGTTTAAAATTTATTAATATTTCACTTTTTAATACAATTCACTGAACCCGGGCTCAGTTAAAATTCCTGGGTTTGGTTTGAAATTTTTTAAACAGGGTTCAGGTTTGGTTTCCCTGATTTTAACCAATCAATAGTTATTAAGAAAAAATTAAGATGCTAATAAAATTTAAATTATAATATATATTTATATTAATCAAAAACAAAAAGCTTACGAGGAAATCACACCAAGAAATATGAATTACATGGAATTTGTATGTAGATTACCTCCCAATTATTTTACCAGTTCTAGTCATAAGACATTAGATTTACATAATTTAACTAGCGCTGGCTACATTAATACAACTATACAAAATGTTTCTAAATATTCATATAATAATGCTACTATAAAATCTTCTGAAAATGAAATATTTTTAGGGATATAAAAATACTTGTAAAAATATTTATATTTTATGGATGTATTCGATTTATCACATATTTATTTTAAGATGCCTTAATAAAATAATTACAAGTTTTTTTATTAACCTGTGTTTTTATATATATCAAATATTTTAAACATTTTATGAGGGTAATAATTAGGTTAAGTTTATTTAGCATCTTTAAATTCCTTTTTTTAAAAATAAGCTTGTTTCCAAAATATCATTTAATATTATTAGCTTTTATGAATATAAATTATAATATAAACATCTACTTAAGTTAAATGTATGAATTTTGTAAATTTTATCTTTCATTTATTTTGCAAATTATTTAGGGAAATTGAAAAGAATAAAGATGTAGGATTTATATTATAATTTTAATTTTTCAACTGGTTAATTTTATATAATTTACATATGGGCCAGTTAAATTTTAACAAATGCAAGACCCATGGAAATATTTTTTTATAAACCTGAACCAGTTCAAAAAATTCAATTTATACGATTTTATGGCCATTCAGGGCTCTGATAAATCATTCAAATTTTGAAGTTATTTTAACTATTACATATAAGCCTTAATTGTTAGCATTATAAAACATGTATTTTTTAATGTTTTATTCTATATATATAAAAATAATTTATTCATATATTATATGAAACAATCATTATAAAATCCATATATACATAATAATTAAAATAAAATTATAAATTATTTAACCAATTTATTGCTTTAAGATTATCTAAAACAGGATCATTGTTTAATTCTACAAATTCAATTTTGTTTTTAATTTTATCGAATGAAAATATATCAGTATGTTTATAAAACAAGGCTCTAGGATGGCTTAAATTTCCTTGATTTGTCCTTTTTAGTATTTCAAATTCAGTTTCCAAAGTTGTTCTGATAGCTGTTGAATTTTTAGCAAGTGGTGAATCTTGTTTATGGCATATGATCAAAAAGGGGATTTGGTTAGTATAAATAACTTTATCATGAATAATATTGTACAAATAATTAGCAACATCTCTATAATTTTTAGAAAATTGTGAGCTATCAATAAAAAATATAACACCTAAAGCTGACGATTTGTATTTATCAATTAAGGGGTAAGTAATTGCTTCAAATCCAGGTATATCTATAATATCCAGTATTTGTTTGTTATTAGCGATATAAATTCCTTTATTTTCTTTAATGGATGTATAAGTGATCTTCTGCTTATTATGCAAAAGTAATGTAAAAAAATATGTCTTGCCTGCTCCACTAAGACCTAATAGCATTATAGATCGCCTTCTAATGGAATATCTTTTGATAATTGCATATAAAATAGGTATTAAAATTATAACAAAGGTTAATAATATAATTAAATAATTTTCTTGAAAATAATCAATCATGTTTGCAAACAACGTTTTAAAACGGTGTAACTAAACTGAGAATTAACAGGTAAACTGAGAATTGACAGGTAAACTGAGAATTGACAGGTAAAATTTATTTTTGTTTTATTGCCTATCAATTATTTTTAAATATATATATAAAATGTTTTTAAAGTAAAAATCAAATCTATCCAAAATTAAAATTATTTAAATATATAAATTAGAATATAGAAGATATTGTAGTCCATAAATTTATAATTTGTATAGAACAGATCTATTATATAGAAAATATAACACCAATAATATATTTTTTATATCATAATAAATATTCCGCTAGATGGCGTAATTTATTAAAATTTTTGTTTTTAATTAAAAATAATATGAATTATAGGAGCATAATTCTACGCTCTGGATTAATTGATTTGGTACCGACTTATATAAACATAAAATGAAAAAATTTTTAAGTTTCCATCATTATTTTTGGAGTTATGATGTGGATTCTCAGTTTAGTCAATTTTTTAATTTTTTTTAAAATTTTTGGGATTTTAAAAATATTTTATTTTTTTGACTCATTTGGTGTAAACTAACTTATATTAACATAAAATGAAAAAATTTTTAAGTTTCCATCATTATTTTTGGAGTTATGATGTGGATTCTCAGTTTAGTCAATTTTTTAATTTTTTTTTAGATTTTTGGGATTTTAAAAATATTTTATTTTTTTTGACTCATTTGATGTAAACTAACTTATATTAACATAAAATGAAAAAAATTTTAAGTTTCCATCATTATTTTTGGAGTTATGATGTGGATTCTCAGTTTAGTCAATTTTTTAATTTTTTTTAAAATTTTTGGGATTTTAAAAATATTTTATTTTTTTGACTCATTTGGTGTAAACTAACTTATATTAACATAAAATGAAAAAATTTTTAAGTTTCCATCATTATTTTTGGAGTTATGATGTGGATTCTCAGTTTAGTCAATTTTTTAATTTTTTTTTAGATTTTTGGGATTTTAAAAATATTTTATTTTTTTTGACTCATTTGATGTAAACTAACTTATATTAACATAAAATGAAAAAAATTTTAAGTTTCCATCATTATTTTTGGAGTTATGATGTGGATTCTCAGTTTAGTCAATTTTTTAATTTTTTTTAAAATTTTTGGGATTTTAAAAATATTTTATTTTTTTGACTCATTTGGTGTAAACTAACTTATATTAACATAAAATGAAAAAATTTTTAAGTTTCCATCATTATTTTTGGAGTTATGATGTGGATTCTCAGTTTAGTCAATTTTTTAATTTTTTTTTAGATTTTTGGGATTTTAAAAATATTTTATTTTTTTTGACTCATTTGATGTAAACTAACTTATATTAACATAAAATGAAAAAAATTTTAAGTTTCCATCATTATTTTTGGAGTTATGATGTGGATTCTCAGTTTAGTCAATTTTTTAATTTTTTTTAAAATTTTTGGGATTTTAAAAATATTTTATTTTTTTGACTCATTTGGTGTAAACTAACTTATATTAACATAAAATGAAAAAATTTTTAAGTTTCCATCATTATTTTTGGAGTTATGATGTGGATTCTCAGTTTAGTCAATTTTTTAATTTTTTTTTAGATTTTTGGGATTTTAAAAATATTTTATTTTTTTGACTCATTTGATGTAAACTAACTTATATTAACATAAAATGAAAAAAATTTTAAGTTTCCATCATTATTTTTGGAGTTATGATGTGGATTCTCAGTTTAGTCAATTTTTTAATTTTTTTTTAGATTTTTGGGATTTTAAAAATATTTTATTTTTTTGACTCATTTGGTGTAAACTAACTTATATTAACATAAAATGAAAAAATTTTTAAGTTTCCATCATTATTTTTGGAGTTATGATGTGGATTCTCAGTTTAGTCAATTTTTTAATTTTTTTTTAGATTTTTGGGATTTTAAAAATATTTTATTTTTTTTGACTCATTTGATGTAAACTAACTTATATTAACATAAAATGAAAAAAATTTTAAGTTTCCATCATTATTTTTGGAGTTATGATGTGGATTCTCAGTTTAGTCAATTTTTTAATTTTTTTTTAGATTTTTGGGATTTTAAAAATATTTTATTTTTTTTGACTCATTTGATGTAAACTAACTTATATTAACATAAAATGAAAAAAATTTTAAGTTTCCATCATTATTTTTGGAGTTATGATGTGGATTCTCAGTTTAGTCAATTTTTTAATTTTTTTTAAAATTTTTGGGATTTTAAAAATATTTTATTTTTTTGACTCATTTGGTGTAAACTAACTTATATTAACATAAAATGAAAAAATTTTTAAGTTTCCATCATTATTTTTGGAGTTATGATGTGGATTCTCAGTTTAGTCAATTTTTTAATTTTTTTTTAGATTTTTGGGATTTTAAAAATATTTTATTTTTTTTGACTCATTTGATGTAAACTAACTTATATTAACATAAAATGAAAAAAATTTTAAGTTTCCATCATTATTTTTGGAGTTATGATGTGGATTCTCAGTTTAGTCAATTTTTTAATTTTTTTTTAGATTTTTGGGATTTTAAAAATATTTTATTTTTTTTGACTCATTTGATGTAAACTAACTTATATTAACATAAAATGAAAAAAATTTTAAGTTTCCATCATTATTTTTGGAGTTATGATGTGGATTCTCAGTTTAGTCAATTTTTTAATTTTTTTTTAGATTTTTGGGATTTTAAAAATATTTTATTTTTTTTGACTCATTTGATGTAAACTAACTTATATTAACATAAAATGAAAAAAATCTTAAGTTTCCATCATTATTTTTGGAGTTATGACATATATTGTAAAACTAGTTTACTTCAATTAAAATTTATAGGCCCTTAAAAGGGCCGTTGGGTATTGGTCTTAAAAAAGACTGTTGGGTGTTGGTCTTAAAAAAGACTGTTGGGTATTGGTCTTAAAAAAAACTGTTGGGTGTTGGTCTTAAAAAAGACTGTTGGGCATTGGTCTTAAAAAAACTGTTGGGTGTTGGTCTTAAAAAAGACTGTTGGGCATTGGTCTTAAAAAAGATAGCTGGGTATTGGTCTTAAAAAAGACCGTTGGGTATTTATGTCATAAATAATCTAATAATCGTTTTAATAAAAGATTAAGGCTAACGAATTTTTTTCTTATTCACTCATTTTTTTCTTATTTATTCATTTTTTTATTATTTTGTATCTCTATAAATTTATATACAAAGTGTCGAACAAATCATTTTTTCTTCATACCTTCAAATGTTTTTGTATGAATCTTCCGGTCAAATTTAATTATTAATTTAGTTTAGATTAAACGACTTACATAATTATGTTGCACACCTGTGGTTATTAAATAAATTTAGTTGATAAATTAAACGTAAGTAGGACTTCAAGTTCAAATTTCAAAGTTTTAAAAAGAAAATTATTTTTATAAAATTAGTAAATATGTAATGTATATTACATAACACGGTACTCGAAATATCTTACATAAATAAAATATTATTCATAGCTTATAGATCTATTTTTTATTTTGAATTATTTATTAATTTCTATATAGAAAGATTTGAGACCGGTCAGAATTTTAAAAAAATTAGGGAATATTTTTAATTTATATTAAATTTTATAAAATATTATTCATAGCTTATAGATCTATTTTTTATTTTGAATTATTTATTAATTTCTATATAGAAAGATTTGAGACCGGTCAGAATTTTAAAAAAATTAGGGAATATTTTTAATTTATATTAAATTTTATAAAATATTATTCATAGCTTATAGATCTATTTTTTATTTTGAATTATTTATTAATTTCTATATAGAAAGATTTGAGACCGGTCAGAATTTTAAAAAAATTAGGGAATATTTTTAATTTATATTAAATTTTATAAAATATTATTCATAGCTTATAGATCTATTTTTTATTTTGAATTATTTATTAATTTCTATATAGAAAGATTTGAGACCGGTCAGAATTTTAAAAAAATTAGGGAATATTTTTAATTTATATTAAATTTTATAAAATATTATTCATAGCTTATAGATCTATTTTTTATTTTGAATTATTTATTAATTTCTATATAGAAAGATTTGAGACCGGTCAGAATTTTAAAAAAATTAGGGAATATTTTTAATTTATATTAAATTTTATAAAATATTATTCATAGCTTATAGATCTATTTTTTATTTTGAATTATTTATTAATTTCTATATAGAAAGATTTGAGACCGGTCAGAATTTTAAAAAAATTAGGGAATATTTTTAATTTATATTAAATTTTATAAAATATTATTCATAGCTTATAGATCTATTTTTTATTTTGAATTATTTATTAATTTCTATATAGAAAGATTTGAGACCGGTCAGAATTTTAAAAAAATTAGGGAATATTTTTAATTTATATTAAATTTTATAAAATATTATTCATAGCTTATAGATCTATTTTTTATTTTGAATTATTTATTAATTTCTATATAGAAAGATTTGAGACCGGTCAGAATTTTAAAAAAATTAGGGAATATTTTTAATTTATATTAAATTTTATAAAATATTATTCATAGCTTATAGATCTATTTTTTATTTTGAATTATTTATTAATTTCTATATAGAAAGATTTGAGACCGGTCAGAATTTTAAAAAAATTAGGGAATATTTTTAATTTATATTAAATTTTATAAAATATTATTCATAGCTTATAGATCTATTTTTTATTTTGAATTATTTATTAATTTCTATATAGAAAGATTTGAGACCGGTCAGAATTTTAAAAAAATTAGGGAATATTTTTAATTTATATTAAATTTTATAAAATATTATTCATAGCTTATAGATCTATTTTTTATTTTGAATTATTTATTAATTTCTTTATAGAAAGATTTGAGACCGGTTAAAATATATTTAAATTTATTAATTTTATGCTGAATTATTTATGTAAAATAAAAATATTTTATTTGTAGAAATAGACGACATATAAGATAATATATATTATTTTGAGTATAATTATAAAATTTAATTTCTATATTTAAATAAATTCGGGTAG